CTGCCCTAATCGACAGGTTGGAGGAGCTCCCGGCCTGGAGGTTTGACGGAGCCCCGTGAGTTGGGGCACCATACGGTGAGTTGTGAGGGGGAGAGGGGGGAGGGGGGTTGGAACTGCCACAGCAGAAGGGGCTTTGAGTCTAGGCTCAGGGAGAGGCTTTGGATCTGCAGGTGTGGGGAGCCACGGAGGTTTCCAGGCAGGACTGGTCTCACCTGGAGTTGTGCTTTCTCCTTTCAGGTACCTGGTAATGTCACAGCCCGGACCTGCTCAGCTCCCCAAAACTGCTGTCCCTGTGCCTGAGAGCTTCATGCTCCCAAACGGCCTACCTCAGGGATGGGGAAACCGAGGCCCAGGGAGGCATGGGGACTGAGCTAGCATTCACTTGGGGAAACAGTCTGACATTATCTGGAAAAGTTAGAGGTATAAAGCCTGCAACCCACCGATTCATGGGGGTACACCTTACACGAAGTTCCAGAAGCCTTGCTGGGCAGCCGGTGGGGAAAATCAGTTTCCAGTGTTAGAAATCAGCCAGATTGACCAAAAAACTAGAGGGACAAATGTATTTCATGGCCCTGTATGCGTGGGTGGCATGTGTAGTGAGAGGGGTTGTCAGCTGTCCGTCTTTGGCAGTGGCTGCAGGGAGGCTTCTATTAATTTCCACTTCAGTCAGAGCAAGAGGCAAAGTCCTCGCAGTGGACGGATTGCACAGCCAACAGCGCCGCCCTGACCTGGCTTCCTACCACCTTCTCCCTCGGTTATTCCCCTGCGGCCACCCCGACCTCCTCGCTATTCCTGAAGCACACCAGCTACCCCAGGGCCTTTGCATTCTGCCTGGACCACTCTTTCTCCAAATAGGTACATGACTGTGCCTCGCTTTCTTCATATCTTTGCTCAATGGCACCTTTTCCATAGGGCCTCTGTGGCCCTCTTACTCATACTGCCATGTGCTCACTTCTGATCCCCTTGGCCCTGCTGTACTTTCTCTTTCCCTGTGGTTCGTAGCACCTTGTAACATCCTAGATGATCTACTTTTGTTTATTGTGCCTTGCTTCTCAGCACCACTGGAATGTCAGCTCCACAAGGGCAAGGGTCCTTGCTTTGCCCAAGGCTATGTCCCCAGCACCTAGAATCCTGCCTGGCATACAGTGGGGACTCAATATTTGTTGAGTAAATGATTTACTCCCTACCGTACCATACCCCTAGCATGCAGAACAGTACCTGGCACACGGTAGGGGCTCCACAGATGTTTGCTGAATTAACTGGGGTAAGAGGGGACTTGGTGAGGACCCACTGTCCCTGATACAGCTTTACGAGTTGTTGGATACTTTATCCCTCTGCGTGGTGCTACAAACACGGAGGTGAAGAGGCCCCATGTCGGGGTGGAGGGGAGCATGAGGAGGGAGTGTCAGAAAAGGGTGTCTACCTGTATATATCTGCCACCATGCTCAGACCTAATCACCCCAGTAACTGACTTCTCTCTGAAAGGCAATGAAACTGCTTCTTGAGTCTGCTGCCACAAATTCAAGGCTCAGTGTCTGCAGTTTTTAACAGAGGCAGCACCCTGCCAGGGAAACTTCTGGAGACTTGGCAGAAAAAGCAGATGCTTTTTTACCCACATCTTGCTCAACCCCTGTGATGTGGAAGAAGCCAGTCTGGACAAATTGTACAGGTCACAGTCCCTAGCTTGTGAGTGGCCAGTGGAGAATTCCTGGGCTCACAGGAGCTGTTGCTGCAGTGACCGCTGCCACAGGAGCAACCCTGGCAGCAGGCAGATGCCAGGCAGCAAGCTGGGAGCAAACTGCGCAGTTTCCAGACGTCTTTAGAAACAAGACTTTGTTTGTGCAGTGTGAACAAGGGGCAGATTGGGAAAGCCTCCTTATATTGTCCACCCTTCTCTGAATATAAGGAGCCATGTTCTCAAAATGAGGGATCAGGAGGGCTCCTCTCAAGGGGAAGCACAAAAAACCCCAATGGTCAGTTGGGGAGACCAGGCGCTCTGCCTGGGGCTAGGTATTCTGGACAAAGGACCATATTCAAGAACTTCAGGCCCTGTTTTCAAATGCAGGTTCAGCAGAAAGATTAATTCCAGGAAATCTGAAGCTGATGAAAGATCTATTTTAGTATTGTGGACACAGAAGAGACAGAGGGAATGTCTGCCATGGCCAGGGTATGCCATGTTACAAGGCAGACACAAAAAGACCAGCGCCATTCCCTGGGGAGCTTTTAGCCCTTCTTAAGGGTATTTACCAAGACCAGTTTATTATGATTTGGAGAAAGGAGGAGGCCTTCTTGACTGGGTGAAAGCACATATAGCATAGGAAACTGACTACCAGATGTGACAAATTGGACCACCCCCAGCCCCGGCCCCCAAGATTAAAAATACAAGCCAGGCTAGAATTCCGAGGGCAGTGTGTGCAATCCCAATTACGACTGAAGAACTGGAGGACCATGGATGGGGATTTGCACCCCACTGTCTGCTGAAACAACCTTATTTGGCCAATCTTGAAAACAGATGTATTCTGGAATTAATTGGGGATAAATTAAATTGGCCTGTAGCAACTGTATTTCATGTCATGGTTACTATATTGGAAGGTTTTTCTAAATCATCCCTTACTGGGCACATGGCCACTGAGCTTGGCAACTCCTTGTTTTTCTATATAAATAGCAGTTTCCCTCTGCTCAGCAGGGACAGCAATTTACCTTTATTTTTTGAGACAGGGTCTTGCTCTGTCACCCTGGCTAGGGTGCAGTGTCATCATCATAACTCACAGCAACCTCAAACTTCCGGGCTCAAGCGATCCTCCTGCCTCAGCCTCCCAAGTAGCTGGAACTACAGGCGCACACCACGATGCCCAGATAATTTTTCTAGTTTTTTTAGAGATGGGGTCTCGCTCTTGCTCATGCCGGTCTCGAACTCCTGAGCTCAAGCGATCCTCCTGCCTCGGCCTCCCAGAGTGCTAGGATTACAGGCGTGAGCCACGGCACCCGGCCAGCAATTTACCTTTACTCTCCTAGTCTAGGGCCAAGTGTTTCAATTCTCCAGCACTCTGTCATGTTCTGACCTGTCAGGAGTTTGTACCCATGGCCTTGTTCTAACTCAAATATCAGATATTATATCAGTGACTTAGATACTGGGGATGATTTAGAAACAACTATGTCTGAAGCTCTGACTTCCCTCTTTGATTTTGCATCTCAGGGCATTAAATAGGAAAAAGGTTGAGAATTTTCTGACGATAACCTTTTTGAGAATATAGTTTCCTGGAGCAACCAGAGAAATTCTACCTGAGACAGCGGAAAATTTTGCCTGCATACAAAGTTTTACGACTAAAATGAGGGCTCAGAAATGACCTGGCTCCTTTGGAAATTAAAGCTAACATATCCCATTTGGGTCAGGTGCAGTGGCTGTACCCCTGGTGGCACACACCTGTAGACCCAGCTACTCGGGAGGCTGAAGCAGGAGGATCACCGGAGCCCAGGAGTGTGGGGTTACAGTGAGCTATGGTGACACCACTGGACTCTAGATGGGGCAACAGAGCGAGACTCTGTCTCTCAAAAACAAACGAAACCATATCCCATTTGTGGGCAGAAGCCTCCGTTCCTCTTAACTCCCCACACCAGCTCAGGATATTCTCTGGGGTCTGCTCTAAACCAAGAATGAAAGCAGACTCCGCTGCTGGAGTTCTGGCTCAGGAAGTTGTTCAGAGATGTGGCATTCCAGATTCTGTAGCATCTGCTCACGGGCCAGCTTTCATGGTTTCTATACCCCAAGAGTGAGCTCATGACCGAATGAATCCTTTAACTTGTCCTGCATCCCGAGCAGAAAGGTGAGGCTGAAAAATGTAACGGTTCCCACCTTAACTCCCAGTTCAGCACGCCACTTAAGATTTCATCTTTCTACTAAGTGTCTGAAATGGTTTTTATTATACACTAAATACTGGCAAATATTGGGTTTCTCTCTAGCCTCCCTTCTGGTCCATCCATTTCCTCTGTCCCTGTCCCAGGACTGTAGCGCAGAGGATGGAATAATTATCTTCCCACCTTCTCAAAGGCAACTTTCTCATATTGTATAAAACGGGTAATCGTCTGGGGAACAGGAGTGGTCCCGTAGGTCAGTCTTCGTCTGTGTCACTAGGGCCCACATACTGGCAGACAGCATCGTAGTGAAGCTCCACCACCTGATTTTCTCTCCGCAGCTGCACCAAAGCCCGGCTCCGTGCTCTGTCCCGGCCCAGCAGATGTCCCACCTGGAGTAGGGACAGGGTGGAGTCAGCAAGCAGCAAGGCCAGCCCAGTCCCTGGGACAGCCCCTGAATGACCTTGAAACTTCCACTTCCAGGTCTGTGACTCACCCTTCCAGCGTGTGGGCCGAGTACCACCATCACACAGTCGCCCTCTGCCTTGGGAACCAGGGTCTCCAGCATGTCTTCCCTCAGGCCTGCAGATGAGGGAGAAGGGAATGAGGCCTGCAGCAAGGGCCGGCCCAGCCAGGGTCCTGTCGAAAGGGCCTTTCCTATTTTCCTGGAGCCACTCTACACCCTGTTGACAAATGGAATCCCACCACACCCATTTCACAGATGAGGAAACCTTAGGAGAAGTTCGCAGAAATAACTGTCATAAAGGCAACATTTACATACAGGGGTGGTGGCAATATAACTCCCCCAGTTATTGTGGGCATGTTGTAAGTTCTGCCCTGCATTGGGAGCTCAATACACATCCCCACCACAAGAGGGAGAAACAGTAACTTCTACACTAATTTGACAGGTGGGAAAGCAGGGCTCAGATAATCACCATCATGGAAGTGTCTAATATTCTGTAAGAGGGTGCTGGGCCTTGCAAAGAACCTAAACTCTGCCCAACCTCCCAGCCTTGCCTGGGCTAGGCTCTTGGCCTAAGACACCTTTCTCGAACAGCCTCCAGGATGGTAATGCCCCAGCTGCCACTGTTTAGACTCACCTTCCAGAACTCTGCCTTCATCTGTCCGACACACACAGGTATCTGGACTTAGGACATCTTCAATCGTCATCTGGGGAGACAGGTCAGCGGATGTGAGATGTTAGAGAGTTAAGGGGGCCCAGTCCCAAGGGAGGAGGGGGACCCAGGCTGCAGGGTTCCCACCTTGGTGTTGTAATATTGGCCACCTTTGTGCAGCTTGTTCACAAACCGCACACGCAGGTCCCTGTGCAACCAGTGTTGACTCCTGGGGGCTGTTTTCCCACTCTTGGTTGCAGGCCCATCCTGTCTGTGGAGAGGGGATAACACCAAGCTTAGTTCTTCATCAGATGCACCTGCCAGTTGCCCTACCTTTAACTATGCCATGAAACCCACCCATGATGCCATTCCTAGCTCCTTCGATGCACCTGCCTTGCCCTGAAAGCCTTCCCTGGCTGCTTGAACCTACCCACACCCTGCCTGCTTCCCTTGTCCCACATGCCCAGGGTCCCACCGGTCTGGAAGGTGTTTCCGCTTCCTCTCTGCGTTCTCTTGCTGGACACGTAGGTCCTGATCCCGGAGGGCCTTCCGTGATGAGGCTGTCCCATTCTGTTGCCCTGGAGAAGTTTTGCTCACCTGGCCTGTTCAAAGGGGTGTGGGGAGAACCAGAGAAGAGCCTCAGTGTCTTACTGCCCTTTCCTTCCAAGGCCACACCTCAGCCCAGGGCCATCTCCTGCCCACCAAAGTGCCCCTTCTCACCATCATGCCTTCGCCTGGGCTAGTAGAATGCCTCTCCCCCACCTCTCAACCATCCTACCTCCTTCAGGCAGCCTCCCCCAGCCGCCCAAGCCCACACCGACAGTGCTCACCTAGTGTGGGCTAGAAAGTCTTAGAAAGCTCTGTCTGCACTCATCTGCCAAACTGCCCCATCCTACTGACACTGCTTTGCCTGGGCCATTCTGCCTGCCTAGAGTTCCTTTCTCCTTGGTCACATCCTAGCAGTTCTCACTCCCTAGCAAAAGAGAGGTTTGCCACCCTAAATAGACAAAAACTCCAAGAGGGTAGGATTTGGTTTCTGCACCTGTGTCTTCCCACTCAGAGACAGGTTATGGACTCAGGGGCAAGAAATCAACCTTTCTTCAATCAGAGTAAGCCATGCGTGTCCACTCTCACTGCCTGACCTCTAACTGGGAGTCACACCTGCCAAGCAGACTGCTGCCTTCCCCTCCTGCAGATCTTAAACCCACCCCACGAGCTGGGCCCTTCCACCCCCAGGAATGCTTCTCCAACTCCCCCAGCTATGCAAGAGGCTCACCACTGAGATCCAAGGAGTTCTTGTCAAACTCCTGCTGGGAGACAGACCGCAGGCAGTACTCACTAACAGTCACCACGCGGCTCCCCGCAGCCAGTCGCACCATGGCCCGGACATTGTCAGGATCGAGGCCTTCCACCTACAGTGTTGAAGGAAGAAGTGAGGCAGGGGTTGTGAACTCCACCAGCATTCCTAAGACTAAGCTGTCTACCCCTTACCTCCAATAAGCCTGACTCCTGTGTCTCCCCAGCAGACTGGGACCTGGCCTGGTTCCTATGTTTCCCTCAGCAGACTATGGGGCTTGCATGGATAGCCTTTGAGCATCTAATCCTCAGGGACTTGTGGAATATGGCATTCTTTCCCTTTTAGTTGGGAACTGAGGCTCAGAAAGGCCCAGCATGTGGTCATGGTTACCTAGTGAGGCAGTGGCCAGGCAGGCCTAAAAGACTAGGACTACCAGCCCTTCTACTCCAAACCAAATTCTTCCCTCTTGCCCTCAAACCAACCTGCCCTGTCCCTGCTGCCTGTCTTAGGCTCCTGGGATATCTTGCTTCCTTACCTTCCCATATTGGCCTCGGTGAGGACCAGAAAGGACCACCACAGCTCCTCCAGGCACCAGTGCTTGAGGCTGGTCCTCCTTGTCCTTCTCTTGCTCCTTATCTGGCCTTGGCACGTGGGAAGAGCCGGTGGGGGTCAAGGCCTGGGCCTCGGTCAGGTTGGCACCCAGACCTAACCCCTTGGGCCTCAGTGAGTTGACGCGGGGCTTCACTACCCTGCAGGGTGGAATATGGGCTTGCTGGGGGCGGGGGTGGTGCAACAGTCTCCAACGCCTCATTCCCCTCCCCACTGCCCACATCCCACCCCATCAATATTTTCAAAAATACCCTTTCCGATCTCATATTAGGACTGTTTTTGACCTACAGAAATGGCAATTTCATTTGGGTCAACCTAATAACATGCTGCATATACCAACTATTACATAATATCACGGTGGGGACCAGAGGCAGATTGCTGTAAAGAAATACACTAATATTTCTGCAGGGGAAATCATATGAATATTCACACCAAGCAGGAAACAGATTATAAATGCTCAGTGCCAATTCAGGTCATGTTTGGCTGTCAAATGGTTTATGAAAAAAAATGTTTGCTTTTCAGAATTCTTTGGAGTTTGCAACTGCGAAGAAAGCGGTTATAAGTCCACGCGATAACAGCAAATGTTTAGTCTATGCTTTCTTGGGGCCCCCACTGTACATGCTTCATGTGTATGATCTCATTTAACTCTCACAACACGCCTATGAAGTCAGTATTATTATCCCCAGTTTTCAGATGAGGAAACTGATGCCCAGAGAGGCAAACTTTACATAAGTGGGATCCTATTATGGAGTTTTTTAATTGGTTTGCTTTAGAGACAGGGTCCGGCTCTGTCACCCAGACTGGAGTGCAGTGGTGTGATCATAGCTCACTGCGGCCTTGACCTCCTGACCTCAGCCTCCTGAGTAGCTGGGACTACAGGTATGCACCACTGTGCCAGCCTATTTTTTTCATTTTTTTTTTTTGTAGAGATGGGGTCTCACTACATTGCCTGGGCTGATCTCAAACTCCTGCCCTCAAGCAATCCTCCTGCCTCAGCCTCCCAAAATGCTGGGATTATAGGTGTGAGCCACTGTCCCTGGCCCCCAGATGGAGTTTCAAAGGGCAAACAGGAGTTTAGAACAGTAATGAAAGGGGATACTGGATTCATTAGGGTGGTAATGTATCCTCCCTCCCTGCCTGGATGGTTCTGGGTTGGCAAGTAAGCATGGGGATCTTGATCACGGCCCTATCTGCCTGTCCCCTCACCCCTACCCCAGAACTCACTGATTGAAGGTGCGGCCAATGCCCTCGCCAGGTTTCCAACCCATACCCCGCAGCATGGCCATCCCGTAGGCCTCCACAGGCACTGCCTCGTAATCTGCCTCCTCTGGCATCTGCGGGTCAAGCAGAGGAAGGAGGGTCAGGCTTTGCCGATGCCCGGCCCTCTGTTGGAAGTGCACTTGCTATCTTGCTATCAACTCTCCATGCTTCTTCTCCAGTCAGCTCAAGGGGGAGTTTTGATTTCCTCTCACCTACCATTCCTCACTTTACTCCAGTCCTTCAACAAATATTTCTAAAGCACCCAATCTGTGTCAAGTACTGTTCTGGGTGCTGGGGATAAAGCAGTGACCAAAACAGACAAAAACCCCTGTCCTTGTGGGGCTTGCATTCTAGTTATATTCTAGTTGTGGAGACACACAATGAATAAAATACAGAAAACATGATATGTCAGGTGGTGATAAGTTATATAAAGAAAAACAAACAAGTTAAGGGGATGCAGAGGGATAGCCGCTGAGCTGACATTTAAGCAGCAACCAGGATATGACAGAGGGAGCCCTGAGGGTGTGAGAAGGAAAAGTATTCCAAGCAGAGAACAGTAAGAGCAAAGGTCCTGAGGCAGGACAAGACTTGGTATGTTTGAAGAGTATCATGAAAGTCAACATGACTGAAACTGAGACGTGGAGGCAGAGAAGGGTGGGTAAGAGACTAATCAGGAGAGCTGGGCAGGAGCTGGAGGACCCTGAGTCAGGTGGGAGCCCGGAGAGGGACCAGTGAGGAAGTTACTGCAATAGTCCAGGCGAGATGCTGGCAGCTCAGCCCAGCATGGTGGTAGTGGTGATAGTGACAAGTGGTCAGATTCTGGGTATTATTTTGAAAAGAGAGATGATAGGATTGTACTGACAGACTGTGTATGGGGTATGAAATAAAGAGGGGAGTCAAGGATGACTCCAAGGTTTTTAAGCTGAGTGAGAGGAAGGACAGACGGAACTGTGCTCAACTGAGATGTAAAAAGCTGCAGGAGGAGGTTTGTAGGGGTAAAAATTAGAGAAATGAGGCCAAAGCTTGAACAGGATGAAGAATCAAGTGAGGATCTCTTTTTTTGTTAAAGATGAAGGAAACAAGAGCACATCTGAAGGCTGATGAGAACAGTTGGGTGGAAAGAGGGTGGTCTGGGGCTGTAGGAGAACTAGGCCCCAAAGAAGCACTGTAAAAAATTTATGAATGAAGAGGTAAAGAGTGAGTTCTGTGGTGATGAAAGACAGACTTGGTTACTTCTGTGGACACACCTCTTACCTCTCCTGTTGTCACCTCCTATCATCACTCCTTCAGTCCTTCACATTTGCTCCAGACACACAAGTTGCCTCACTGATAGATAAACACCACGGTGACTTCCTGCCACCGTGCCATTGCTTGGGCTGCTGCTGCCATTAGGAGTACTCACTCTGTTCTTCCCTTTCCCACTAAACCCTACCTATCTTTCTAGGCCTCACTCCCACCACTTCGGTCTGAGTCCCCATCATCTCTAGCCTGGACTACCAGTCCCCTTGCTTCCACTTTCCGTTATTAGTCTGTTCTGCTCACAGCAGCCAGAGGGATCCTGTCAAACCATAAGTCATGTCCCTTCTCTGCTAAGGGGCTGCCCATGGCTCTCATCTATCTCAGAGTAAAACCCAAAGTCCTCACCATGGCCCACAGGACCCCGCCTGATCTAGTCCCCTCCACCTCCTTTCTACCCCTCCCTCTCATTCATTCCACTCCAGCCACATTGGTCTCCTCGGTGGTCCTCAAACACTCTAAGCAGCGTCTACCTTCAGGGCCTTTACATTTCCTGTTCCCTTTGCACCCCATCTCATTCAGATAATCCCAGGATTCAAGTACTTTTTTCACATCCCAGTATCCAGATTTACTTGTTAATGTTTCCAAACACGATGGCAGAAGGGAGGGATAGGTGGCAGGCCTCTAGCACACAAAGACATTCCCTGCCGTGTGCAGGGAGGAAAGCTTGGCAGACAGGGCAAAGAAAGACTGGGGTAGGAGGGGGGTTAGGGGCCAGCTCACTGTCTCAGCCCCGGGTTCGCTGTCTGCCCCTTCCCTGTTGGGGGTGCATCCTTTCTGGATCATGGGGATAGCGAGCGTGGGGTCGATACCCGCATTCTCTCTCTCCTCCAGAGACTTCTTGGATTCTAAAGGAAGAATGGGAGGGAGCAATGAGGTTCCATCCTATCCTTCCACCTTCTTCCTCTTCTTCCTTCACTGGGGCAGGGTGAAGGGGGATCACTCACCCTCAATTATCTCCTTCACAGCCTGGGACAGCACCCCATCCGCCAAGACCCCAGTATCCATGGATGGCCCAGGGGGCTGTGCTGGTGGCTGCCTGCGATAGCCATTCTGGATCAAAGGGATGATGAGTTCCTTGGGGGCTTCTGAGGGCTTCACACTGATGTGGACACAGAGGGATGAGGTTTAGGACAGTGACAGGGTCGATGGGTTCTGAGCCACACTCCTTCATTCAGAGAAAACACAAGAGCCAAACTCACCCCTAGACCCATGAACCATGTCCTCCGTTCTCCTGGGTGGCTCTCCTGTTATGTCTCTGATAGTGTATTCTTTGGATTCTCTCCTCCTGCCCTCCACCCCCCCCCCCAGCAAATCTTAAATGTCAGTGTCTTTGAGAATTCATTCCTGGACCCTCTGTTCATTCCAAGACTGGCTTCCTCAGTGACTCACAAATCACCATCTTCACCTCTCTCCAGCTCCAGGCTCCAGAACAGCCTCGTAGACGGCCGATTCGCATCTGGAAGTCCCTCCCTCAAACTCTCCTCTCCTAATTAAGCTGAGGATGGCTCCATCAACCTGAATCTGAAGCTCCATCCCGTTTCCCATAAAGCTCCACTGCTTCCGTTGAGACATTAGAGGTCCTGTCATTCTCCCCTCCTTTCCCTCTCAGAAGGCACATACCACAGTGTCCCCAAGCCCTAAAGACACTCCCTCTCAGGAATACATGTTCTCTTCTCAATCCCCACGGCCATCAAGCCCAATTTCCCCACCTCTCCTATAAACTTCCGCCTTCTTGCCTCCACGAATTTCCTCAGGCCGTGCTTCAGGCTTCCCAGGCCACTGTCACCAACACAAACAACTCAGATTCCTCCCTCCTGCTTGCGCCCACCGCACCGATATTCACGGAGTGAAAGACCCGGCGCTTCACCTCTGCAGCTCTCTTCCTTCCACAGTCTTCAAGAAATCCTTCTCCTCCGGGGCTGGGCCCGCACCATCTCCCGGGTCCGCCAGCCGCCTCCGGGCGGACGTGCGAGTGAAGCCGAATGAAATTGGGGTGGTGGAAGTTGCCGCTGGCTGCAAAACACGGTCTTCTGCGTCCGCCATTTTGCCGCTTTTCCCCCCGTCAGTGCGCTGCCTGCCGGGAAGTTTAGTTTTGCTTCATATCGCTGGGGGCGGGCCGACGAGCGCAGGAACGACATTTCCCACAAAGCACTGCGGCACCGGGGACGAGGGCAGACAAGGGGCCGTAGGACGCAGTTGTCGCTCTTTTAAGTTTCATAGAAGTGCGTCGAGCCGCGCACATAGGGAAATGTAGTTCTTCAGGGAGGTAGGCGTGGTAGGTGGATTCATTCTCACTGGATGTTCGTTCCTTCGTGTAGGTGTTTGACAAGTATTTATTGGGCGCCTACTGTGTGCACCTTACTGTATCCTACCGATGTGGGAAGTGTTGATAAAATAAACCATTAAGAAAAAAATCAGCTGTGCGCGATGGCGCCTGCCTGTAATCCCATTTACTTGGGAGGCTGAGGCGGAAGGATCACTTGAAGTCTGGCGTGCCAGACTACAGTGAGCTATGATTGCGCCTGTGACTAGCCACTGCACTCTAACCTGGGCAACACCGCGAAACCTCGTCTTAGAAAAACTTTATCAGTGAGTGCCACTTGCCTACATGTCTAAATAATAGACATGAAATGGTACCTACTAATGCCAGATTTTAATACTTGACAAAGTACTCCTCCCTAGAGGCCAGTGGGGAACAGTGATACTTGAATGGTTATTTTAAAAATATAGCAACATTAAACATTGTGAGTGCCAGTTCCTAAGAATTCAGAAATTTGTAATTCAGGCCAGGCATGGGCCTCATGCCTGTAATGCCAGCACTTTGGGAGGCAAAGGTGGGAGGATCGCTTGAGGCCAGGTGTTTGAGTCCAGCCTGGGCAGCATAGCGAGACCCCATCTCTAAAAAAAAAAAATGTTTAAAATTAGCTAGATGCAGTGGCGCATACCTGTAGTCCCAGCTTCTCAGGAGGCTGAAGTGGGAGGATCACTTGAGCCCAGGAGTTTAAGGTTGCAGTGAGCTATGGTCACGCCACTGCACTCCAGTTTGGGTGACAGAGCAAAACCCTGTCCCTGTCTCAAAAAAAAATTTTTTTTGTAATTAGTCTTGCAAAATGACCCCCTCCTTAAGTCATTTTTTGTTCTCTCCCCAATACTTCAGATTTTCAAACAAGTTAAGCCTAAGGAGCAGACTTAACTAACTTCACAGGACTAACAACTCACCATCCATCAACAACAGTTGACTCTCGAATTAGACCACCTGCAGACTCTATGACTCCAAACCCCACTATAAAAGTCCTTGCCCTTAGTCAGTTGGGAAGAGAGATTTGAGGCTGCCTCTCCCCTTCTCCTGGCTGATGTCATTCGTATTAAAAATTCCTTTCTTCCTTTGCAATCTTCATTGTCTCAATAATTGGCTTTCTGTGAGGTGAGCAACCAGACTTAGGCCAGACCCCTTTTGGGTTCAGTAACAGATTAATGAGACAGATATCTCTTCTGTAGGACCTTAAGAGTTTGTAAAGTAGAAGACAGATATTTAAACAAATAGTCACAAGAAAAAAAACACTATAATTCTGCTACAAATTCATCCCAAGGAAATCATTGAAGATGTATAAAACATTTTTTTTTTTTTAGAGACAGCATCTCACTCTGTAACCCAGGCTGGAGTGCAGTAGTGTGATCATAGCTCACTGCAACCTCAAACTCCTGGGCTCAAGTGATCCTCCTGCCTCAGCCTCCCAAGTAGCTGGGGCTACAGGCACATGCCACCACACCTGGCTAATTTTTAAAATCTTTTTGTAGAGACAGAGTCTCACTATCTTGCTCAAGTTGGTCTCGAACTTCTGGCCTCAAGCGATCCTCCCGCCTTGGCCTCCCAAAGTGCTGGAATTACAGGCCTGAGCCATTGCACCTGGCTATAAAATGATTTTATGTGAGATTCATCATTGTATTATTTACTGTGGTGAAAGCTAGAAGACCACCTAAATGATAAACAGAAGGGAATAGGGTAAATCATAGCACATGCCTTTGGTGGAAGTTATATGCTAGAGCCTTTAAGTGCAAAGCTATAAATATAAGTAAATGAAATGGGGACATAGTCACATGTTTTAAAAAGTTGAATAGTATGGTGGTTTGGAGAATGGTCTTGAAAACAGGCAGCCCATTATTCAATCAGTCCCATGGCCATGTTTCCAGGTCTAGAAGCCCTGGGCATCAGGGATAGGTCCCAGAATTTCAATGCTAAAGCCACCATAGTTTTCAATATACAAAAACATTCTTTAAATTTTTATTTAGAAATAGGCTGAGCGCGGCGGCTGGTGCCTGTAATCTTAGAACTCTGGGAGGCCAAGGCAGGAGGATCGTTTGAGCTCAGGAGTTTGAGACCAGCCTGAGCAAGAGCGATACCCCATCTCTACTAAAAATAGAAAGAAAATTAGCTGGATTACTAAAAATATATAGAAAAAATTAGCCAGACATGGTGGCACATGCCTGTCGTCCCAGCTACTCGGGAGGCTGAGGCAAAAGGATCGCTTGAGCCCAGGAGGTTGAGGTTGCTGTGAGCTAGGTTGACGCCACGGCACTCTAGCCTGGGCAACAGAGCCAGACTCTGTCTCAAAAAAAAAAAAAAAATCCACAAAAAACAAACAACAACAACAAAAAGAATGTCACAGAGATGATATTCCCTTATAATCACATCGTATCAGAGGGTTCGAGATGTTGATATTTCTTATTGTTAATGATGTCAACATGGATCACTTAGTTGTGTTGTCAGCCAGATTTCTCCTCTGGCTCCAATGGCCTGCCAGGCAAACTGTCCATGGCTCAAGTGATAACCACTTCCTGGGGCAGCCACCGGAGGCTGTACCTGTAATAGAGGCTTGATTACACAGGCTCAGGCCAGAGGTCCCTGAGAGAGTTTGGCTTCAGCTGGTTCACACCTGGTCTCTGACTTGCTCCTCACATATACCACGGAGATCATCTCAACCTACCCTGATCCTAATGCAAAATTTTTTGGCGAAAATATAATGGGAGAAAAGATCTTTTTTTTTTTTCTGTCTTTATTTCATCCTGAAAACAAAATCAGGAGTAACAAACATTTAGAAAAGTACTTCTTTGCCATATAGTTAAGGAAGACTATATCCAAGTCTTGCAAAATCCACCATTTAATCGTTTTTTTATTCAATAAACATTGGTTGAGTACCTACTGTGTTACAGGCCCTGCCCTGCCCCCAAGGAACTCATAAGATATGTTGGGAAAATCAGGGATTATAAGTGTGGTTAAGACGGCAGACACAGGGGGTTCTGGGGAGGGGTGGTCGAGGAGACAAAAAGGAGATTAACTGTTCCCAGTATTACTTCCAAGAGGACCTGAAGACTGAAAAGGCGTTTTGAAGGATGGCAGGAAGTGACGCTGGAGTGACGTGGTAGTTATAGGAAAATATAGAGGATTGATTCTGATTCTTAAAATATGAATACATGTGATACTTTTATATTATGGTAGTTAAGCTTTTCACAAAAAGAATAAAATGACAAACAAAAGGTCAGGCAGCTTGGGTAGAATTTACCTGGGTAAAATTTAAAAAAAATAAAGGTCAGGAAGCTGGTTATAGCGGAGTCAGACTTGAATCCAGGCTGCCTGGCACCAGAATTTGGAATCTTACCAATGCTCGATATTGACTCGGCTTGTGCTGGATTTCTCAGCCTGGCCCTGTCCATTGCCCTCCTTCAGTGCCCATCCTTCCCCACCACCTTCCCCGCCCTCTCGCCCCCAAGTTCATTAAGGTAGTCCCTGGCGCCCTGGACTGTTTACAGCTCCCCAAAAGTATCCAAGGTTTTTCATGCCATACTGTATTTGCCATGCTAGGACGTCTGTGGGCAGGCGATTATCCATGACATTATTGTCCATAAGAGTCCAGCACCATAACTACTGGGAGATAAAAGAGGCAGAGAAAGCGGTTAGGGACTCAACACAGAAACGATCTAGGCTCCATCCCCTCAATTAACATTCTAGCCTCATCTACTTGCCTCCCTTCTACAAAACACAGAAGTAAAGATCCATCTGGAATCCCACACGTACAAACCGGCCCACCCTTTAACTAGACATCACCCCCTCAAGTAATCTTAAAGGCTCAGCCCACACAAATAACTGTCTGACCCGGCCTCTTTAACAAATAATCCTGGGCCCGCCCATTGGAATAATCCTACAGACCTCCCCACCTCCCTCTAATAACACGCAGAACCCACCCCTCAAACGACAGCCTTCGGCCCACCCTGGAGGGTGCTACCCAGGAATTTGTCAAACCCCCTGATTAGCCTCTAATCCTCACCCCATTCCTCACATTTCAAGCCCCGTCCCCTTGCCTAGCTTTCCAGACCCGCCCCTTTGCTGAGTACCCGCCCCCAGCACTCTCCAGGCCCCGCCTCCTCAGAAATGACATTCGAAGCTCCCTTGACCAGAATAAGGATCCAGCCTCGCACTCAACTAATCTGACACTCGCCTACTGCAATAACCCTCAAGGAATTTTCACTAGGATAACCCCACGGCCCCGCACCCTGCAAGCACCCACAGGCCCCGCCCTCCCACAGCACACCCCTCGGCCCCACCCAGGGGAATAGCTAAGAACCCCGGGCCCGCCACCCCGGACCCACCTCCACGCCGACCCCGCCCCCAGGAGGCCCCGCCCCCGTCACGCACCCTCCTTGGGGCGCAGGTGCAATGTGGCGCCGGCCGGCGCACCAGCGCCGCCACGTCGGCCGCAGCTCGGGCCGCCAGGGGGCGCGCGTCCAGCCGCGCCAGGAGCTGCCGGGCGGTGGGGCCCGCTGGCAGGGGAGGGCCGCGGCCTGCGCGGGAGAGGTGGACAAGTCAACGCTGACCCTGAGCCTCGGAGAACCCCCATGCTTCTAGACGTCCGAAGACCTAGAAATGATAATCTCAAGATACCCTGAGATCCCCCCAGCCACTCCCTCGATAGTTCCGGAGCTCCCCCCGCTGTCCCTCTCCTCTCCCGCGACCCCCGACGATCGCGGATATGCCCATGGACTCTCGCCTAACCCCAAGATGTACCGGAGATAGCTATTTGACAGCAGTAGTCCTGGACACCTCCGAACATCCTGCGATTTTTCTCTGCAGGTCCCCAACTGCCCCATAATAACCTCAGATGCCAAAGTCTTCCCCCAAGGTATCTCCAGGGACCCTGATTCCCCCAGATATCCTGAGACAGCACGCCCTGACCCTGTAGCCCCAGGACCCCAATTCCCCCTCTAGATATCCTAGGCAACCCTTGCTACCCCGTGAATTCCCTCAGAGGCCCCGTTTCCCCCGTTTCCCCACAGGGCCCACCTACCTCCAGATTCCCCCTCACAGGGGCCCCCAGCTCCCCCCGGCCCCCGTTCACTCCAGACCCTCAGTGTCCGGGTGTCCCCAGTGACCACAGGCACATCCCTCCCCACACATCTCTCCGGGTCTGGTGCATGGCCCCTTTGCTGGGGTGTAGGTAGGGGACCTCGACCCCAGCCCCGTCGCTGTCGCTCGTTCCCTGCCCGCTGCCACCACCCCCTGGGCGCCAGAGCTGCTCTGTTTACCACCTGTCCAAGGAAAAGGTGGGGAGCAGACAGGCGGGGCGACGGTGGCAGGGGACGCGCCCCCTCCCTCCCCCGGTACCTCCTCTGCTCCCCCTAGGGTCCGTGGCGCCCCCTGCACGCGGCTCCATGGCCAGTGTTGTGCCCGGTGGACTCACGTCCTCCAGCGACGCGTTTTGGGCGCTGGAACGCACTCACCTTGTGGTCCGCCCAGGCCTGGAGCCTGAGGCTGGTCGGTGTGGTGCCTGTCGCCCCGACCCACGTGGTGACATAGCTGGGCCACCAAGGATGCCTGGCTGTGGGAGGCAGCAGGATCGTTCAGCCTCCCTCTGTCTCAGGCTCCTGGGCTTCTATTAACTATGGATCCTGGTTAAAATTTAAGTCTGACCATACGAAGTGTTGTCAAAGATATGGAGGAAATGGAACTCTAATACACTTCTGGTCGAAATGTAAAAAGATATAGCAACTGTAGGAAACAGTTTGGTGGTGCCTTACAAAGTTACATGTACACATGTGATCCAGCTTTCCGCTCCTGAGTATTTGCCTAAAGGCATACATCTACACAAAGACTTGTATACAAATGTTCATAGCACCTTTATTTCTTGGCTTAGTCATCTCGGGCTGCCATAACAAAATATCACAGACTGGGTGGCTTAAACAACAGAAATTTCTCACAGTTCTGGAATGTAGAAAGTCCAAGATGAAGATGCTGGCCAATTTGGGTCCTGGTGAGGGCTCTCTTCCTGGCTTGCAGATGGCTGCCTTCTGGCTATGTCATCACATGGAGTTAAGAGATTGAAGGAGAGTAAAGGAGATAGTGTGAGAGGGACACACAAACAGGGACAGAGATCTTTCACTTCTTATAAGGCTGCAGTCCTATTTGATTAGGGCCCCACCCTTAGGATCTCATTTAACCTTAGTTAACTATTAAAGAATCTATATGCAGATATAGTCACATTGGGGGTTAGGGCTTTAACATAAATTTGGTGATGGACATAATTCAGTCCATAGAATTTGTTAATAGCTAAAAACTGGGCCAGGCGCAGTGGCTCACGCCTGTAATCCTAGCACTATGGGAGGCCAAGGCAGGAGGATCACTTGAGCTCAGGAGTTTGAGACCAGCCTGAGCAAGAGGAAGACCCATCTCTACTAAAAATAGAAAAATTAGCTGGGCATCATGGCAAGCACCTGTAGTCCCAGCTACTCAGGAGACTGAGGCAGGAGGATCGCTGGAGCCCAAGAGTTTGAGGCTGAAGTGAGATACAATGAAGCTACTGCACTCTACCCAGGGTAACAGAGTGAGACTCTGTCTCAAAAAAAATAAAAATAAAAATAGAGGAAATTTAACCTCCCCTCCTCACTCCCCCCCTTCATATTAAAAAAATTTTTTTTTAAAGATAAAAACTGGAAACAGCCCAAATGCCCATCAGTAGGTAAATGGATCAACAAACTGGTCCATTCATACAGTGGAATACAACTCAGCAATAAAAAGCAATGAATGGCTGGGCATTGTGGCTCACACCTGTAATCCCAGCACTTTGGGAGGCCACGGTGGGAGGGTTGCTTGAGGCCAGGAGTCAGAAGCCAGCCTAAGAAGCATGGTGAGACCCCCATCTCTAAAAAAAAAAAAATTTAAAAATTAGCCCGGTGTGGTGCTGGCCCACCCCTAGTCGTACCTACTCAAGAGGCTGATCCAGGAGGATCACTTGAGCCCAGGAGTTTGAGGTTGCAGTGAGCTATGATGATGCCACTGCACTCTAGTCTGGGTGAGCATGCAAGACCCTGTCTCAAGAAAAAAAAAAGGAATGAACAATTTGGATGGATCTCCAAATAATTATGGTAAATAAAAGAAGCCAGACCTGCCCTCCAAAAAAGAGTACCTGCTGTATGATTCCATTTATATAAAAATCTGGTAAAATTCAAACTGATATACAGTGACAGAAAGAGATGAGAGATTGTTTTAGGGGAGGGGACCCAGACAGCAAGAGAGAGGAATTACAAAGGGGCAGGAAAAAACTTTTGGCAGAGATGGTTGTGTTCAATATCTTGATTGTAACGATAGTTTCACCAATGTAAACATATTCAAAAATCTATCAAATTAAATATCAATCATACCACAATCTACTAATAAAATAAAAAGTTGAATTAATGAATTGGGCGGGCCTATGAGAGGGATTGACTTAAATCCTTGAATGAGGTGAGGCTAAAAGGGATAATTTGTTCATATTCATGAATGGAGGAGGCTAAGAGAGGCACTGGTTTTGAACCAACAGTGGAGCAGGACTAAGAGGGGCTTTGGCTCTGCGCAGTGTGACTGTAGTCAATGTTAGTTAAAGATGAGTGCCAATGCTGCTACCACATAGCTTGACTGTGCCCAATGCTGGCAATTTGGAAGCTTTATTCCTAATTCCCTTGCCAATCTTAGCACGAATTCCTCGTCACTCCCACTTCCTGGAGAGGTACATTGAGGCTCCAGACAATGCATTGGCTGGGATTCCACCTTCACATCTGCATACCCTCTGGACCTCCAACCCTGCCAGCAGTCTCAGTGACACAAGCACCACTCTCTCAACCCCAGTCCTTGCCCCTGCTCCCAGAATTTTGGCCCTGCTGGCGTTGGCTTTCTCAGTGAACCCTTATCTGGCATCCTGGGGTGCTCATCCCTGTAATTCATCACTGAGGACATCCTTGGATCCCCCATTCCTTCATGACCCCCCCAGGCCTGTGTATCTTCCAGTTTGGAAGCAGGTTCCCATCACCAGACCCTCAAGCCTCTCATCTTTTTGACAAGCTCCCTGACCTATCTCGGTAGCATGGATGCTGCCTGGCGCATGGAAGCCTTCTCTCTCTATCCACCTATCCTCAGCACTTGGATGATGCCCCAGTCTGTAAGACCCTCCCATCCACAGAGCTACAGAGCCTCAAACCCCCCTTCCCCAGTATATAAGGACCTCATTACCCCATCCACAGCTTCCTGAAACCTGGAGCCCCAGTTTGGGTAGTTGCCCTTTCCATCTCCTGGCAGCACTGGAAGTCTCAAGGACTGGCAGTGCAGTGAAGGAGGTCCAGTGTGTTCCCCCTCAGATAAGGTCAGGTCAGAGGTGGGAGGGGCAAGGGACTGTAGGAGGAATGAAAGCAGGAACTGTTCACCCCTTTCACCTATGACAACACTGGGCCCCTGAAAGATGGACCAGAGAGGTTGCAGAACCAGCCAGAATGGACATGAGAAAACAGTGTGTCCACAGCCTATAGTGAAACAGTCACCAACCAAGTGAGTGTTGGGGATAAGCTGCCTGAGACTAGCGTCATTGTTGGCTGGCTATGGGGGCCCTGGGCAGGCCTCTGAGCCTCTCAGACCCTCAGTTTCTTCTTCAGCAAAGTGATGGTCACAGGCCCTCTCTCACTGCAACCGAATTCCTCCTTCCACTACAGTTATATTGTACCCAGACACCCCTTTTCAAACTCAGGAGAGGCCTCATTTCTCCACTGACATTGGCTATTGTACCATCCCACCCCAGTGCCTCCAAAACTGCCTTAACTCCAGGCCCCTACTTCCTCTCTACTCTCCAGAGGACCTGGTCTCCCCACTTTTTCAGTCCCCAAGCCCCATGATGCTCGGGGCCCCAAAACCTTTTGTGGCCCCAAAAGCTCCAAGGCTGCCCCCTCCCAGTCCCTCAATACCTTGCCAGTTTCCCAGTAGGGACCGTGGTAGGCAAACTTTTACTGCAAATTTACTGAGTGCCTACTATGTGCAAAGTTCTGTTGGCCATTGCAAAATTCCCTGGTAAACTTGGGCTCTAGATCTGCATCCTTGTGTTTAGTTGTCAGAACTCAAAACTGCACCCTAACTTCTCTGGGTGTCCTCTTCCCTTCCTATGCATGTAGTAACAACATCCTCTGGATGGAAATAGGAGCCCAGCCAGGGTCTTCAGTTAACCAAGACAGCGCCTGAGGCAGAGGGAGGCCGAGCGCTTGTGCTGCCTCCCTCAGCGGGGCCTCCTTGCCGGCCGCCAGGTAGGTCACGGCGCGGGTCGGTGCGGCAGGCACGGGACTGGCCGGCCTCAGGCTCCAGGCCCGGGCGGGCCGCCAGGTGAGTGCATTCCAGCGCTCAAAACACGTCGCTGGAGGACGTGAGTCCACCGGGCACAACACTGGCCATGGAGCCGCGTGCAGGGGGCGCCACGGACCCTAGGGGGAGCAGAGGAGGTACCCGGGCATGGGGAAGGGAGGGGGCGCGTCCCCTGCCACCGTCGCCCCGCCTGTCTGCTCCCCACCTTTTCCTTGGACAGGTGGTAAACAGAGCAGCTCTGGCGCCCAAGGAGTGGTGGCTGCGGGCAGGGAACGAGCCACAGCAACCAGCGACGGGGCTGGGGTCGAGGTCCCCTACCTACACCCCAGCAAAGGGGCCATGCACCAGACCCGGAGAGATGTGTGGGGAGGGATGTGCCTGTGGTCACTGGGGACACCCGGACACTGAGGGTCTGGAGTGAACGGGGGCCGGGGGGAGCTGGGGGCCCCTGTGAGGGGGAATCTGGAGGTAGGTGGGCCCTGTGGGGAAACGGGGGAAACGGGGCCTCTGAGGGAATTCACGGGGTAGCAAGGGTTGCCTAGGATATCTAGAGGGGGAATTGGGGTCCTGGGGCTACAGGGTCAGGGCGTGCTGTCTCAGGATATCTGGGGGAATCAGGGTCCCTGGAGATACCTTGGGGGAAGACTTTGGCATCTGAGGTTATTATGGGGCAGTTGGGGACCTGCAGAGAAAAATCGCAGGATGTTCGGAGGTGTCCAGGACTACTGCTGTCAAATAGCTATCTCCGGTACATCTTGGGGTTAGGCGAGAGTCCATGGGCATATCCGCGATCGTCGGGGGTCGCGGGAGAGGAGAGGGACAGCGGGGGGAGCTCCGGAACTATCGAGGGAGTGGCTGGGGGGATCTCAGGGTATCTTGAGATGATCATTTCTAGGTCTTCGGACGTCTAGAAGCATGGGGGTTCTCCGAGGCTCAGGGTCAGCGTTGACTTGTCCACCTCTCCCGCGCAGGCCGCGGCCCTCCCCTGCCAGCGGGCCCCACCGCCCGGCAGCTCCTGGCGCGGCTGGACGCGCGCCCCCTGGCGGCCCGAGCTGCGGCCGACGTGGCGGCGCTGGTGCGCCGGGCCGGCGCCACATTGCACCTGCGCCCCAAGGAGGGTGCGTGACGGGGGCGGGGCCTCCTGGGGGCGGGGTCGGCGTGGAGGCGGGTCCGGGGTGGCGGGCCCGGGGTTCTTAGCTATTCCCCTGGGTGGGGCCGAGGGGTGTGCTGTGGGAGGGCGGGGCCTGTGGGTGCTTGCAGGGTGCGGGGCCGTGGGGTTATCCTAGTGAAAATTCCTTGAGGGTTATTGCAGTAGGCGAGTGTCAGATTAGTTGAGTGCGAGGCTGGATCCTTATTCTGGTCAAGGGAACTTCGAATGTCATTTCTGAGGAGGCGGGGCCTGGAGAGTGCTGGGGGCGGGTACTCAGCAAAGGGACGGGTCTGGAAAGCTAGGCAAGGGGACGGGGCTTGAAATGTGAGGAATGGGGTGAGGATTAGAGGCTAATCAGGGGGTTTGACAAATTCCTGGGTAGCACCCTCCAGGGTGGGCCGAAGGCTGTCGTTTGAGGGGTGGGTTCTGCGTGTTATTAGAGGGAGGTGGGGAGGTCTGTAGGATTATTCCAATGGGCGGGCCCAGGATTATTTGTTAAAGAGGCCGGGTCAGACAGTTATTTGTGTGGGCTGAGCCTTTAAGATTACTTGAGGGGGTGATGTCTAGTTAAAGGGTGGGCCGGTTTGTACGTGTGGGATTCCAGATGGATCTTTACTTCTGTGTTTTGTAGAAGGGAGGCAAGTAGATGAGGCTAGAATGTTAATTGAAGGAGCGAGTCCTAGGTAGTTTCCATAGCGTGTTCCCCCATAGCCCTCTTTGCCTCTTTCATCCCCCAGCTGTTTGCATGCTGGACTCTGCAGACATAGAGGTCACAGACAGTCGCCTGCCTCATCCCATTGCTGTGGATCACCAGCTCCAGGTACCACCTAATCCTTCTATTCGAGGCCACCTGCTTCCGGGCTGGCAATCTCTGTATACCCGTGTCCTTACTCTAGCATCGTCGGTCAGAGACCCTGGGTACATGTACTGCACCGCCTGGAGTGGCCCAGAGTAAGGCACGTCATGCTTCGAAGCCATCCCAGACTTCTGGTCAGTTCTATGTGGAGCTGGTCCGTTGTTCCGCAGGCTTTGGCCTCACCTTAAGTGGCGGCTGCGATGTAAGTGGGGACGCTCCGCTGGCTGTTCGCGGGCTGCTGAAGGACGGGCCTGCACAGCGCTGTGGTCGCTTGCAGGTGAGCTCTAAGGCACCTTCCCTTGGTTGGTGCTATCCCTGTCTTTGTTGGGGTGCTCTCCATTTTCCATTCCTACAACACCGTTGCCTCGGACTGTTGCAGGTCGGCGACGTAGTGCTCCACATCAACGGAGAGTCAACGCAGGGCCTCACCCACGCCCAGGTCGTGGAGCGGATCCGCGCTGGAGGTCCCCGGCTCCGTCTGGTGCTCCACCGGCCTCTCAAGACCCAACCCGGCAAGCCTGAGAGGGTGGGAAGGTCCCAGAAAGGAGGTGGTGGGTTTCCCAGGGGAGAGGGGTCAGGGATCAGTGAGGAGAAGGAGAGGTTCGCAGAGAGGCTGGGCTTCTGAGTGGGAAGGGTTTGGTGGTCTCCGTGGGGAGGGTCCGGGGTTCCGTGTCTGCCTGGGGTCAGAGTATTCTCAAAAGTGAGGGCAGGGAGGGGCACAGGGTCCCAGGATAGGAATAAAGCAGGGACAGGGAGGGGGACTGGTCCCAAGGATAGGAATTTCAGAAGGGAGGCTTTGGAGGTACTGGGAGGGGAGAGAAGGGAAGGCGTCTGGGGTAAAAGCTAGAGTTCGGAAGGAAGAGTTTTAGTTCTGGGAGAGGAAGGCAGAGTGGGTCTTAGCCGAGAGGAAATGGGATGGGGATCCAGAGGGTAGGGTGTCTAGTTCTGAAAGACAGAGTCGTTAAGGGAGAGGATTTGGGCATCAAGGGCGGTAGGATGAGAGAGGGGAGAGTCAGGGGTCCTAGATGGGAGGGGTTTGTCCTCCCTAGGTTAAGACCGGGGTTTGATTTTCTGTGGAGATTGTGGGAAATGATTTCTGAGAGGCATGCTCTGGATCCAGGAGGGGAGGGTTCTTGGGAAAGGAGGTGTCTGGGTTGTGAGGGGTGGTGCTGGTCCTTGAAGGGGCACTTCCAGGCCTTGAAGGGAGGTTTCTCTAAGGGGCAGAATCTCTGTCTCTGAAGCCCTTGGGCTCTCCTGGCCACTCTTAGGCAAGGGCCCGGATTTCGGTTCCCCACTTCACCACCCAATCTAACCCTCAGTCCCGCCACCCGCAGATCGCAGCCCAGATCCTGGGGGGCTGGAGGTGATGAGGTCTCACAGCAGCAGCACTTCCCCAGTTCAGCACCCTCGATCCCGCACAACGCACAAGACCCGGGACAGCCTGGAGCCTAGTCCAGAGGCGGCGGCCCACGGTCCCGCGGTTCCTCCTCCTGAGCGCCGCACGGAAGACCCTGAGGACCGCATCCCGGGTTCCCCGGGGCCCTGGCTAGTGCCAAGCGAGGAACGTCTCTCGCGGGCCCTAGGGGTCCCGGGGGTGGCGCAGCTCGCTCAGGAGATGTCAGCCGGAAGGCGGAGACACTGAGCCTATGTCAGACTGGTCGGTGCTCCGTGGGTGCCGCCCAAGCTGGATCTGGTGTGCCGGGCTCGCCTAGCACTGGTACCGCCCCGAGCGTCCGCTTGGTCTGGTCCCCCCATCCCGCTGCGCAGTCAGTCAGCCCGCACTCCCCTCTCAACGTCAGTGGTACGGCCGGTCCAGACCGGCCAGCCCTGTGCTTCTGGTTTGGGCGAGGGAAATATTAAAATGGTTCCATCCAGTCTTGACTTGCCAGGTGCTCTAGGCGGGGTGGGGCTGCCCAGTCCGCTCTGTAAAGGAGGGGTGGTGGATCGATCCGGTCTCGAGGAGTGCCTCTTCTTGTAACCACTGACAAGCTTCGTGCCGTTTCTTTCATGCTTCCAGGTGGATCTTTACTTCTGCCTGTCCTCAGCCCGGCGTGCTCTCTCCCTACTCCTTTTGTCTTCGCCAACTCCTGCTCCTTTCTCCATTCATTCATTTCACCTTTTTGGAGGTGTGCAGTGGCTCACACATAATTATCGTGCGTGGCAATGCGGAGTGCAGAGGTGGGCCTGTTATTGTGGCGGGTGTGCACCAGTATACCCACAGTCCTGGCTCAGAACCGTCCAGACCCTCAGCTGTCTCCGGGATGACAAGGCTAGAAGCAGGGCGCTTCCTTCGCCAGGAGCCTGCGGTCTCCCACTTCCGGCCTAGTCGGCTGGCTTTCGCTGGCACGTAGACTGCCACCCTCAGGGCACTGGCTGGGGCCCCGGAGCCCCCTATGGGGTGGAGCCAGGAAGGTGTGAGTCAGGCCCCTGGGCAGGCCAGGCTAAAAAAGGCTGTTAGCTGTTAGAAGTACATATAAAATAAATTAATAAAAAAAAAGGCTGTTAGAACTTTTCTGCCACGCCCCCCTTTTCCGTAGATGGTGAGGAACTGTAACCAGGCTTGCGTGCACATGCCACACGCTGGGCGTTCCCGATCCCAGGAAAGGCTCAGACTTTCCTCTGCACTGGGAACAGAGCCCGACAGCGGAGGCTTATATGGCCAGCGGGACTCCAACCAGGGTAGCCCCGAGGCAAGGCGGGCGCTGGCGGAGGCCAGAAATGTCCAGTCACCGCTGCTGTCACCACATCCCGAACACTGGGCCCCATCCGCCGAATGAGGGAAGCTGTGGTCTCACTGGGCAACTTTCGCTGCTATGGGGAGGGGGCGGGGAGAGAAGAGAGAAATTGTAGGACCAGAGTGTGAGTCCAGGGTGGTCTGGAGAGAAGAGAGGAACTGCAAAGACAATCTGGGAGAGCTGGGAGCTTGAGTATGAAGAGGTGAAGAGGCGAACACCCGAATGGTTAGAGTCGTAGACATTGTGGGGGAGTGCGCCAGGGTGGCTTCCAGCTACCCCTGACTCAGAGCCTTGGTGGAGGTGTGGCTCTACAGAAGTCAGCAAAGGGCTCAAATGCCCCCGTCCTATAAACACAGTCACACCCAGGAGACTAATAATAGTAACCCAGCCACTATTTGCTTAGTCTTATCCCTCCTAACTGGCTTTACTGCAATATTAATTTTCATCTACAGTAGTTACATATCTACTTAACAACCCTGATGTGTCCATTTTACAGAGGAGGAAAGTGAGGCCCAGAGAGTGCAAGTAGCTCGAGGGAGGGGGTTTGAAGTAAGATTTAATTGAGTCCTGATTCCAGGCCTGTCCTCTTAATTTCACCTGAATTTGACTTTGCCAAGTGTTTTTTTTTTTTTTTTTTTTAAGAGACAGAGTCTAGTTCTGTCACCCAGGCTGGAGTGCGGTACAGTAGCATGATCTAGCTCACCGCAACCTCAAACTTCTGAGCTCAAGTGATCCTCCTGCCTCAGTCTCCCCAGTAGCTGGAACTACAAGTGTGTGCCACCATACCTGGCTAATTTTTAATTTTTTGTAGAGATAGGGTCTTGCTATGTTGTCCAGCCTGGTTGACAAGTATTAATTGAACCCCGGCCCTATATACCCTGCACTGCGATAGGTACCGTGGAGATGCTGGGGGAACAAGACATGAAGATATCTTTTAATTTTTTTATATTTCAGCATATTACAGGGGTACAAATGTTTAGGGTACATATATTGCCCTTGCCCCACCTAAGTCAGAGCTTCAAGCATGTCCATTCCCCAGACGGTGCTCACCGCACACATTAGGTGTGAATATATCCATCCCTTCCTCCCCCCTCCCATCTGCCCGACACCTGATGAATGTTATTACTATATGTGCACTTAAATGTTGATCAGTTAATATCAATTTGATGGTGAGTACATGTGGTGCTTGTTTTTCCATTCTTGTGATACTTCACTTAGTAGAATGGGCTCCAGCTCCATCCTGGATAATACAAGCGGTGCTAGATCACCATTATTTTTTGTGGCTGAGTAGAACTCCATGGTATGCATATACCACATTTTATTAATTCACTCATGTATTCATGGGCACTTGGGTTGTTTCCACATCTTTGCAATTGTGAATTGTGCTGCTATAAACATTCAAGTGCAGATGTCTTTTTTATAGAATGTTTTTTGTTCTTTTGGGTAGATGCCCAGTAATGGGATTGCTGGATCAAATGGTAGTTCTACTTGTATCTCTTTGAGGTATCTTCACATTACTTTCCACAGAAGTCGTACTAGTTTGCAGTCCCACCAGCAGTGTATAAGTGTTCTTATCTATCTGCATCCACGCCAACATCTATTGTTTTGGGACTTTTTGGTAAAAGCCATTCTCACTGGAGATAATTGATATCTCGTTGTGGTTTTGGATTTACATTTCCCTGATGATTAGAGATGTTGAGCATTTTTTCATATGTTTCTTAGCCATTAAGGACATGAAGATTTCTATCTTTGTGTAGCTGGCGTAATGAGGGTAGACAGATGTCAGATGAGAAAGACAAGAAAATTAATTTTAAAAGAAAATTTCAGAGAGAAGCCGAGAGTTACGAAGCTAGTAAAATGAGGTTATGCCCCGTAATACTCTGAAATTAAAAAAAAAAAAAGAGGTTATGTGGGGGGAGATGATGGTGGGCTTCTGGCCTCTTTGAAGATATGACACTTGAGCTGGGACCTGAATGACCAGAAGCCAGAGGTATGAAGAGCTGGGGGAGGGCATTGACAGCAGTGCGGACAGCAAGTGCAAAGGCTCTGAGGCATAGCCTGGTTTATCTTGTTCCAGAAACTCAGGCATGTCCTTACAGAGTCAGAAAGCACACGCCATGCACTGGGAGAAGTATGTTTCATTCCCTCCACTATTCAATAACTCTTTCAGCAACCTGGGCTGAAAGAGGGGGCCCTCATCTTGCCAAGCATCTAGCAATAAACTTCACCATTCCTCATCTAGGGCCGGGCTGGCTGGCCCCTCTCCTCAGCCAGGAAACTGAGGCCCAGCATTTAGGACCAGGACTTCCCTGGGATTGCGGAGCACAGAGTGAGAGAGACCCTGAGCTCCCCGGGCTCTAACGCTGTTAACAATGCGCTCCCCATGCGCACCAGGCCCCGCTCTCGCTCAGCCTTTGCGCTGGCAGGATCTCATCCTCGCCGCTGCTAAGAGGTTTATTCCACAGTCCACGATCCTTTCTCCGAAAATCTGAAGTCCAAAAAGCTCTAGAAACCGACTGTTTTCCCACAAGTTTGACACCATTTGGTTACAAAATCTGACTTGACCTCACGAGGAACAATTTTCAATCCTTACTTATCCACGTATTCACTTATTCTGAACGTTCACACCTTTTCTTGAGGAAAGATTAACTTTCTTCTTCTTCTTCTTCTTTTTTTATGCAGCAGCCCCAGACCCTGCCGACAGCATATGCACGGGGAAAACTTTCTAACATTCAAAATGTTCTAATTCTGGAAATGTACCGGGCCCTGAGTCTTTCGGGTTTAACCGTGGCCTAGGCCGTTTCTCAGCTAAGGAAACTGAGTCACTCCCTCCCAAAGCCAGATTCCCGTGGTTCCGAGTAGAGGCTGTCCCGGGCACATTTACATTCTGAAAAGGCGAAGGGTCTCGCGGTTACAGCGCCTGGCACCCGAGTTGCCAAGCACCTGGAGATGGGGCGCCCCGGGGCCCTGCGCCAGGCCGGGCGTATCTTCGGCGGGCGGGGCGAGGGGATTTCCGGGGCGGCAGCCACCTGGCCCGGCCCCCTCCGGCCCCGCCCACCTCTGCTCCGCTCGGTGATTCACTCCCTCCTTCGCCCGGGGGGCCCCCTTCCCGGCCAGACAGCGGGCAAGACGGCTGGGTGTGCAGCGTCCTCGAACCCGCGAACAAGCGAGCAGATCCTCCGCAGCCGCAGGGACTCCGGCCCATGCTATGGCGGATTCCGAGCGCCTCTCGGCCCCCGGCTGCTGGGCCGCCTGCACCAGCTTCTCGCGCACCCGAAAGGGAATTCTCCTGTTTGCTGAGATTGTGAGCATATTGGGGCAGAGGGGTGGGCAAAGGCGGGGTGGGGTGGCTGCACCACGCGGAACTGGACAGTCTGGGGTGAGGCAGGCACGTGGCCGGGGCGCTTGGCAGGGGGGCGCCGGTGAGTGGGTTCGCGGCGGAAGCCCTAAAGTAGGGGCGCAGGGCGAGTGGGGGTTTGGAGAAGGTGGTCGGAGAGCTGGTGGCCATGGGGTAAGGCGAGGAGCCTATAACGCCTATGGGGGGGGCTTCGTGGGGGAAACCCGCGTGGACTCATCAGTGGACGCATGGAAGGGGTCCCGGGGGGCTGGGAAGTGGGGGTCCTCCCGTGGCAGGGCGTGGCGCGGCCTGGGCACAGGCGAGCGGGCTGGCAGCGCGCCCAGGGGCGGGGCTTGTTGGGGTGGGGCCCCAAGCGTTAGTCCCGCGGGGTAGGGCGCCCCACCCTTCGCCAGTTCTTCCTTGCCCTTCTGGGGCCCGGCGGGATGTCCTTAGCTTTTAGGGCTGCTCAGGAGCCTGGGAAACCCAGGCCCTCTTCAAAGTGGACGCCGCCTTTGAGTCGCTTGTGATAGGAGTGCGGCGCCTTTAAGGGAGCCCTGCCCTTCTGGTGTCACTCTCATGGCTTCCCAAAGGAGTTGCTGGGGAACCGCATGTCCCGCCCCCTCAAGGCCAAGGAGCTGGCGCCAGCGATGCTCACAAAACACCTGGCAGAGGCACTCCTCTCAGACTGCCCATATCCGAGAGTGGAATAAGGGGGAAACCGAGAAGTCCAACTCTACTTACTTGCGGGGTGACCCTGAGCAAGCCGTCTAACCTCTCTGTGCCTCACTTTTCTCATCTATAAAATAGAGATACTAATAATAGTACCCAGTGCATTAGATTATTGTGATGATTAAGTGAACTTGGAACACAGTGAGCACACAAAAAGTGTGTAGCTGTTATTGTGTGTCATTTTCCCAGTCCTGGTAGGCATCTGAGTTTGAGACCCCCAATTTAAACCAGTGTCCTCAGCCCTGGGAACTGATTGAGGCCCCTTTTCCCATGTCACCCTTCCAGATATTGTGCCTGGTGATTCTGATCTGCTTCAGTGCCTCCACACCAGGGTACTCTTCCCTGTCGGTGGTTGAGATGATCCTTGCTGCTATCTTCTTTGTTATCTACATGTGTGACCTGCACGCCAAGATACCATTCATCAACTGGCCCTGGAGTGTGAGAAGGGGGTCAACCATGGCAAGGCTGAGGAGGGGCCTGGGCAGTTCGGATTGTCTGGGGAACTCTGGATGCTGATTTTCCTCTTCTTCCTACACCTCACAGGATTTCTTCCGAACCCTCATAGCCGCGATCCTCTACCTGATCACCTCCATTGTTGTCCTTGTTGAGAGAGGAAACCATTCCAAAATCGTCGCAGGGGTAATGACCATGGAGGCAGCTCCAAATCATAAAGAGAAGGGTTTGAGGATCCAGGGGCCATTTCTGCCTGTGCTCCTGGCAGAAAGTATGAGACCCATAGCAGGCGAAACTTGCCCTTAAGGCCTGCAGGAAAGTTTGGCTCAGGCCCCAGTTTTGCCTCTCAAGATCTTCATTTGCTGTGAAGGGCTGTCCCTTGTTCAGCACAAGGACCTTTGTGGGAGGTATCAACAGGTAGCCCCTTTGTCAACACACTAGACTACCACCTGCTAGAACTTTGTCTCAAATGTAGTATGAATTGTGCCCCATATGTGAGGCCATGGTGCAGCTGCCCTGTGTTGAGAAGTACTAGAAGGAGGCAGGGTAGGCTAGAATCCAGTCTCTTGGCCTTTCTCTGAGGCTCTCTGGCTTCCCAGTCTGGGCTTGAGTCACCATGCTTCATGGGCCAGGTGCTGGCAGTGGTGGATACGAAGAGGTAAGAGGCTGAATGGGCTGACCACCTAATCTAACCCCCCTCACTCCCATCCTACCCCTAGGTACTGGGCCTACTCGCTACATGCCTTTTTGGGTATGATGCCTATGTCACCTTCCCCCTTCGGCAGCAAAGACATACAGCAGCCCCCACTGGTAAGTTTGTGTGTGTGTGTGTGTGTGTGTGTGCGTGTGTAGAGGGGTTGCTGATAGGGCAGAGGAGAAAAGGAAAGGGATCTCCTAAAGATATGAATGCCAACTCTGTTCCTTGTTGGTACTTATGGCTTTTGTACCAATTGTACCATAAGCTTCAGTATTCTTGTCTGTAAAATGGGCATGTGAATCCAGCCAATGCTTTCTCTTTTTTCCTCACTTGCAGACCCCACAGATGGCTCAGTGTAGGTGCACTCCTCTCATTTCTCTCTGCAACCTGCAAATAAGTCCTGCATCGGAATAACTCCACCCCCACAACACTCCCAGCCTACCAATTCCCAGCCTCCTATTGAGGCAAAAGTGCCTTTATTGGGAGAATTTTGTCTTCCAGCCTGCCAATCAACTCCTGGGTGTGACCACTTTTATGAGTGTGCCTAGGTCCTCCTTGGTGTCAAAAGGAGACACCAGTTCTGCCTCAACCATGCCCCCACCTAAGCCACAAAATGAGGGAAGAAGGCACCTTAGATTGTAGATTCCAGGCCCCAGGTTGTGACCCACTCCAAATAATCTCCCCACTGTGGCGGGTGGTTCTGTGGAGAGATGAATAAATAAACAGATTGTTAAAATATGCAATGATGAGTAAAGTAATCCTTCGATCAAATGTGGATAAATCTCAAGCATCAGGAGGGCAAATTGGGGAGGGGCAGCTGGGGCAAGGAGGCAAAGACCCAGGCCCGTTTTACAACAAATATTAAATTACTTCAATAATACAAAGCAGAAGGGGAGAGGAAGGAAGGGGATTTATGACTTAGACGGGGGGGGGGGGGGGGTGGGGGGGGGGCGGGAGTTATCCTCTCCACTGGCTGGAGAATGAAGCCCCTCCAGGACTGCCTGCCTTCAAGCCACGATGCAGTTCTTGTCTCGGGACTGTCGAGGCATCCCCGGGTGAGAGTCCCTGGGGAGAAGTGAGGAGTGGGGGTTGAGAGTCTCAGTTGCAGTCTCCTGGGCGGGCATGGGCCTGCACAGGTGTGCGGGCAGTGGGATGCGTTCTCCTAGGAAGAAGCCGTCATCCTCTGAGGACTCAGAACTGGAACTGGAGGGCGAGCTGGAGCAAGATCCTGAATCTGACCCTGATCCCAAGTCACAATGATAGTGGCGACGTCTGCCAGGGTGGCGGTGGTGGTGGCGGCGGCGGCGACGGCTGGGGGGCCTGGGTGGGGGACTGCGTGGCCTGCGGCGCTGGGCCGGGGGCGCACTCAGGGTCCGCCGTGGACCACCCTCAGACACCAGAGGGTCACGGAAGCTGACGCGTGGGGTGCTCTGACGACCGAAGGCACTATCGTCCGGGCGCGGATTCGGCTGGCTGGGGGACTCCGAGGGTGGCTCAGGGGTGCTGCGGAGCCCCAGCTCTGGCATGGAGTGGCGATGGGGGGCCCCTCTCAGAAAGCGGGAGGGCTCCTCAGGGTCTGCAGCTGTAAAGGGAAGCGACTCATGCAGGAGGCCTGTGGAAGGGCCTTCTTTTCCCCACCAGGACTGGGATAGTGGGGGCAGGAGTCTGAGATCGGCAGGGAGATGCAGTCTGGTAAGTATGAGGCTTGGAGCCGGCGCTGGGTGGAGAGGGTGGGAAGTAAGACGCAGGAAGAGCAAGACAGATTGGTGTATGGGGCGTGGCCGGGGACGGGGGCGTGGCTTCGGATGGAAGGGGTGGGACATAGGCTGGAGTAATTTTGGTTTGATAGAATGGGGAGGAGCCTAGGTGAAGAGGGTGGTGGGTGACAGGCTGGAGGACTTGGGCTCAAGCAGGGACAAGTTGTGGTAGGGAATGGGCCCTGTACAGAAGCAGGGTGGAACCAGGGTTCACGAGATGGGCATAGTTTGGGCTGGAGTCTAGGCGTGGAATGGTGTGGGGAAGGGGGCTGAGCTCAGATGAGCCCGGGTCCAGGGATACAGCAGGTGTAGGGCCTGGGCGAGTCAAGGGAAAGGGCCAAGGTTGAGGCAGGGGCGGGGGTGCAGTGGGGGATGGGGCTGTGGCTGGGCATAGCTAGAGGGTTAGCTCACCAGGCGGTGACTCCTCGCAGGTGTCTTTGGTGACTGTCTTGGACATCCCCTCCGCAGCAGAGAAAGAGGCTGTGGAGGCTGCGAGCGGTGCGGTGACCGTGCCTGCGCTCCAGCTACGGCGGCCGGGCCCCGGAGTGGTGGGCTCTGACCCAAGGCTGCAGGCTCGAGAGCAGAAGATTAGGCCACGGCGTGGCAGGAACGGGCGGCCCAGCAGGGCACGGCCGCAGCGACTACAGCAGAAGCAGCGGTCTGAGGCATGCCAGTGCTGGCCCTCATAAGTCATCTGGCCCTGGTCCAGGCCTGCGGGGAAGGACGCGAGGGGAAATTGAGGTAGAACCCCCAGGTATACCCCACCCTCATGAATGGGGCCCTTCTCGGGGAGGGGTGGGGAACTGAAGCAGGGTACCCTGAGATGCCCTCCCCCCTTCCCAAAAGACCCTTCTCTGGAGAAAGCAGGAAACTCAAGGTTTGGTCCTCACCCCAGTGGTTCCTCATTCTCTTGTCCTGGGGACTGGCTGGTAAATGTCTCCCTCCCACTCTTTCTTTCCCAGGATGCTCCCTCTCAGAGTAGGGGTGGGCCTTGGACTCTAAGATGTGGGCCAGGCTTAGATGTTAAGGTTGGCTTCAGGTGGAAGAAAAGGGAAAGGCTGGGCCTGAAGAGAAGGCCTGGGTGGTGGAGGCAGGGCTTAGAGGGGTGGGCGTGGCTTTGGTGGAGAAGGAGTGGGTCTCAGGGGGTAGGGTGGTAGCCATGACCTAGGCAGATGGAGGAGAGTGGACGAGAATAGGGCATAGGTTGGGGTAGTAGAGGCTGGACTTAGAGGGTAGTCCTGGGGGCCAGGAATTAGAGGGCACCCTGGAGGTGGGTCTGGATGTGTAGTGGTGGCCTAGTATATAGGTGACGTTTAGAAAGTATGGCACAGTGGAGGACACTGGGGGTGGGACTTGCCGTGAAGGGTGCTGGGGCCTGGAGGACAAAAGGAATCCTGGTGGGGTGGGGCTGGGGCCCAGCTGTCCATCCATCCCACCATGTTCACCCACCAATGTGCTCCCCACAGCCATCACAGTATTCCGCATGGCGGGCCTCGTAGCAGGTGCAGCAGTGGGGACGGCTCTGATGCATGACATAGCGCTGCCCTCCTAGGGAAATTTCACACTCGAAGCAGCAGAAGTGACCCATATGCCAGTGCTGGCCCTCAGCCTCCGTGCACTCAGGGGAGAAGATGATCTGGAGGGCAAAGGCCGTCTGTGGCTGTCAGAAAGGCCTGCCCCTGGCCCTGCCTGCCCTCCACTCCCACCCCTGAGCAGGGAGGCCCAAACCTCATCACAGGCTTGGCAGCGTGGGCGCAGGCGTTCGGCATGGTGGCGCCCACAGTAGACTTTGCCAGCATGGTAGAAGTAGATGAGGTCAACGAGCAGCTCCCGGCATGTGGTGCACACGAAGCACTGTGGGTGCCAGCAGGCGCCCAGGCCTGCACGGCTGGCAAACACTGCGATGTCCCCACCTCCGATCTGCTTCCCACACTGTCATGGGACAGACACTGTCACCATCGCCAAGATGGCCAGATGGATGGGATCGGCCAAGACATGTCACCCTTGGGCCTTCCTCATGGTGAACCTTTGTGACAGGCCCTGCCTATCACAGGGGGTGCAGTTGGGGACACCTTAGAGACTGACCCAGCTCATGGGGAAGCCATAGACACAGGCCTTACCCATCATGGGTGGCCTTACTGGCTAGTCTCCCCCGTAGTGGGGTGGGGAAGACATAGAGACAGGTCAGACGCAGTGGGGGAACCACATAGATAGTCTCCATCCTCTGGGACCTCAGCAAAAGACCTCACCTAACAGTAGGATCTAAGGACAGGCCCCACCCGCCGCTGGGCTCTGGAGACAGGCCCTGCCACTGTGGGTCAGTTCTTAAAGACAAGTTCTGACCACAAGAAGACCAGAGAGACAGTCCACGCTGCATGTCTACTGCATGGAGGGGCAAAAACCATAGAGAAGGCACACTAGGGCCCCCTTAGAGACAAACTGCACCCACTGGCGGGATCTGAGGGATAGGTCCTATCCACCAGGGGGCTCTAGAGACACACCCCATTACCAGGAGGGCCTTAGAGACAGCCCCTGTACAACAGCGAGATGTGAGGAACAGACCCTGTCCTCCAGAGGGGATCCTAGAGACAGCCCACTGGGGCTTAAGGGGCAGGCCTTATCTTCCACAGCCTGGGAGACTGGACCTGCACCCCAGGGCTTGGAGCAAAGGCACTACTCCCTCCCTGAGGCCTCTGTGGCTCACCTCCTCACAGATGGCCCCAGTGATAGTCACTGGGAAGATGCGCACAGTGCCACGCCCCAGATTCTCCCGCTTCCGCTGCTGGCTGAAGGCTCGGAGCTCTTTCCTCTCCTCCTCTTCCAGCGCCGTACAGTACTGGGCCTGGGGGTGGTAGGGGTCTTCCAGGCTCTGCCCTTGAGGCCACCCCTGTCCCTCTTCCAGACTTCATCTATGCTCAGAAAGTTTACTTCTAGGCCTTTGTATAGCTGGTGCCTCCTGCCTGAAACACCCACCTCTTCTTCCAAGGCCCAGCTGTGGTTTTGCCAAGGAATGTCCCCCGATGACCCCGGCCTATCCAGAACTCTCATCTCAGATTGGCTCACCTTTCCTTCTCTGACCCTGCCCATCTATTTCCAGTTGCCCTGCATTCGCCCAGGCTGTACCTGTCTTCTGTCTCCTCACCTCACTGTCGTGTGGGGGTAGCTGGTGCAGTAGTTGCTTAATCCTGTATTTTTCCCCAGGACTGTTGACATAGGGGACCTTGTCCTCCGGGAGGCAGCTAAAAAATTGGTATACCTGGGAGGACATGAGGGGTGGGAGAAAACAATTGAGATTAGGGATGAACTGGGATGCAGTGAGATGGGGGTCCCCACTGCTCTGAGAAAATTAAAGTCATCAGGAGGGACTTCTCCCAAAAGTCCGGATCATTTCCTTCAGCTCCCAAACATGCTGAGAATTCCCTGAGGTCGTGGCCCCACTTCTTCCTCCAGCTGCTACTCCACTTTTCTCCTCCCCCTTTACAGCAAAATTCCTCAAAAGAGTTGTGAGCACTGTGTGCATTTCACTTCCTCGCCTCCCATTCTTTCTTGAGCCTTCTCCAGTCAGGCTTCCGCCCCCGCCCATCCTCCAAGGCTGTCAAGGTCATTGATGACGTCCACACTGTTAAAATCATCGTTCAGGTCTCAGTCCTCATCCAACTCGACCCATCAGTAGCCCTAGACCCAGCTGATTACTCCTTGTTCCTGTGACTGCTTGCTTCCCTTGGCTTCCAGGACAGCACACAGCCCTTGTTTTCCTCCTACCTTGTCGGCTGCTCCTTTTCCGTCCCTCTGTTGGCTCCTCCTCAACTAGCCCACCCTGAAATGTGGGAGGGTCCTAGGGCTCAGTTCTTCGTCCTGTTGCCTCTGTCTGCATTCACAGCCTTGGGAATTACGTCCAGCCTCATGGCTATAAATATCATCTATTTGGCTAATGTGTCGCAAATGCATACCTCCAGCCCTGTGACCTCTCCCTTGAGTTCCAGGCAATGTGGCCATTTAGATGTCTAACAGGCATCTAAAACTCCAGATGGCCAAAACCAAACTTAGCTCTTTTTTTTTTTTTTTTTTGAGACAAAGTCTTGCTCTGTTGCCCGGGCTAGAGTGCACACTTAGCTCTTAACCCTCAAACTCGCTCCTGCCTTTCCCTTTCCCGCACAAATTAATCCACCCACCCTTGGGGTCATCTTTCACTCCCCTCTCTTCCACCCCCACAAGCAAATCCTCTCATCTCTAGTTTCAAAATATATCCAGGATCTGACCATGTCTCACTGCTTCCACTGGGGCCAGCACCATCATCAGTCACCCAGGCTACTGCAATAGCCTCCTCCTCTCTGGTCCCCTGCTTCCGCCCTCACTGGTGCGGGCTGCTCTACACTCAGCAGCCACATCACGTCCCTCCTCTGCTCACAACCTCCTTGTGGCTTCCCCCTCATTCAGAGTCAAAGTCAAAGTCCTCTCCATGGCCCTGCCACCTCTCTGACCTCAGGTCCAGCTGCTCTCCCCCTCCCTCACTCTGCTTCGGCAGCACTGGCCTCACTGTCCCTCACACATGCCAAGCGTACCCCTGCCTCAGGGCCTTGGCATTAGCTATTCACTTTGCCTGAATCGCTCTAACCCCAGAGCTCTGCATGGCTCACGTCTTCACCTCCTTTAGGGTAGCTCGAACATTAAATTTTCAGAGGCTTACCTGGGCACTCTATTTACAGTGCTAGTCTCCCTCTCTCTCTCTCTCTCTCTGTCTCTCCTCACCACCCCCTTCTCTGCCTTTTTATTCCATAGCCCTTATACCATCTGACATATATTTAAAAGTTTGTTTATTGGCTGTTGCTCCTTTTGGGAATCTAACCACCACGTGGGCAATATGTTATTTTGTGTTTTGTTCACTGCTGTGTCCTCAGTTCCTAGAACAGTGTGTGACCCGAGGTAGGTGCTGCATAACTATTTGTTCAGTGAATCAATCAATGAAGACTTGGTGAATGAAGTGCTGGGGTAAAGCCTGAGGCAGAATAAGAGTGGGGTGAACAGGCCCTGAGGAACTGGTGCCAAGATCACTCAGCGTTCCCTGTGAGTGTGGGGAGCTGCCACCCCTCTGTCACGGAGGGGTCAGAGGACCTTTGGTCTGACCACACACTCTAGTGTTGCTCTAGAAATAGGTTCCCATTTGAGTGTGTGTGTGTGTGTGTGTCTGTGTGTGTGTGTGTGTGTGTGCGCGCGCGCGCGCTCGCGCCTATGTGTGCACCCACTGGACAGCAAGAGGGGGTGGCCTGTGGTCACCTGCTCAGGCTTAAGGCCTGGGGGCACCCAGGCATACTCCTCCGATGCACAGCCTGAGTCGTCGTCGGAGATGGAGTGGCGCTGGAAGTCTGAGATTAGCCGACACATGATGCGTTCCAGGTCCACAGGCACCGCGTGAACTGCGTGCTCCTCCCGCGGGCATTTGCAGTGCTGGCAGATCTTTCTGGGGGGCCAGGATGGGGATCAATTACTAAGGGGTTGCTCACCCAGACCCCTCAGCAGCCCAACTGAGGCGGAGACATGCAGATTATTACCACCAAAGGGCCCTGGGCCTGCAGGCGGAGCTGACAGGAGGTGGGGCTATGAGCCAGGGTCTGGCTGTGAGCCTGTCAGTAGAGAGGGAGGCGTTGGCTGTGAGAGGCTCAGCTTCCAGCAGTAAGATAGGGGCCGAGGAGGGCACGGCTGTGAACTAGGGGTGGGGCTGTGAGCCTGGGCACGGGATGTGAAGGGGTGGGGCTGCGGAGTCTCAAGGACATCCCCTAACCTTCCAGGTCTGGGACTTGTGTCACACTCTCTGGCAGCTGGCCTGAATGGGGGCGGGGCTCCGAGACTGAGATTGGAGTTATAAATTTAGAGGCTTCCCCTGAGGAAAGCCTCTGGACTTTGTGGGGAGACTTTCCCTAGAGGCAGGGCTCTAGCCTGTGTGATGAGGCTCGGGTAGGGCTTGAATCTGGGGACTGGGGACTGTCTGTGGTATTTTATGAGACTTTTGGGTGCAGGGCTCCAGTAGGAGGATAGGACGCTGGGTCTGGGAGAGTAGTTCTGAGCCTAATGGGGGGTTGGAGGTCAGTGAGCGGTGTTCAGATCCCGGGAGCATCTCCCTAGGGATGCGACTCAGAGGCTTGGGGAGAACTCTTCTGGGGGCGGGGCTGTTTAGTGGGTGGAGCTTTCCTGGGAACGCGACTCTTGGGAATGGGTTAGGGGGCGGGGCTCTGAATCTGAGCGTTCCTGAACTCCCCCAGTAGGCAAGGAGCCTAAACCTGGGGGGGGGGTTCCCCTGAGGGCAGAGCTCTGACAGAAGCCCTGTGTGTTGGGAGGTCACTTACCTCCAGCCGTGCAGCAGGAAGCCGGGGCATTGCTCCCTGCAAGAGTTGCAGGGCTGGCCCCGGTCTGGGTCCTCTGTTTCTGGATGCTGCTGTGGGCGGGGGCAGACGCAGGGCCGGGCAAGGCGCGGGAGCAGGGAGGGAGAAGTCAACTCCCGCCCCTCCACTCCAAGGCCTGCAACCGCACGTTGAGGCCTGTCCCATCGGGGCAGCGCTGGGCAGGCTGGGACAGCGCCTGGAGCGCGGGGGAGGGGACACAACCGAGGCAGAGGCGGGGCAGCTGAGACCACCTCCCAACAAGCCCCCTTTTCAGGGAATTCCCCTCCCTAGGCTGGCCTTGTACTACCCCTCCCCCAGCCTCGGACACCCCCCTGCCTCAGATCCTTCCAGGCCTCAAACACCTCTCCCAGAATTCAGAGTACTCTCCCCGCCAGAGCACAGAGTCCTTAATCTGGGCATCCCCTCCCAGGCCTTATCTCTGTCCCCTCTCCACCCACGAGGCCAGCAGCACTCCAATTCCACAGGGTAGGCGACCGGAACCCCATCCTTCCTCGGGATCCCCACATGAACCCTGCTCCTCCTTTCAGAAGCTCAGGAGCTGCTCCTGGCTTCACTCCCTCACACCAAGGAACTGGAGACCCTCCCCAAGGAACTCAGGAGGGCTCTGCTCCATTCAGCAACCCCCTGCCTCAAGAAACTTTGACCTTGACCCTCATATCCTAGGGCTATTTACTTCTTCTCTGGACCACCAAATCCAGACCCCACCTTCTCCCGTCAGAGACCCCCTCCAAAGGAAGAGAGAGGCCCTCCTATCTAAGAAGTTAAAAGCTCCTTGGCTCAGGTGGAAGCCTGGAAGCCCTGTTCCCCCAAGTCCCAATCTCTCTACCCTCAGCATTCAGGCATGCCAGGAGAGTAGGACTCTGTCCCTCAGTACACGTTTCTCCAAGGTATGGTGTCCCCTTCCTCAGAAGCTCAGGAGATCCCTGCTCAATCTAAGACACCAGGATCCAATCTTTTGGCCCTCGGAATTCCCTCTTGCAGCTCACAAGAGAAGGGAGCGCACCAGGTCCCAGGGTGTGCGGAGAGGTGATTAGGGAGCATGGGCCACCAGACCTACAGGTTCCTTCATCCACTTGCTTCCAGCAGCCCCAGCCCCAGGTCTAGGAATGCTGGGGATGGGATTCCCAGACCCTCTACGGGGCGTCTGCTCTCTATCCCTATCCCCTACCCAATCGCCCAGGCCTCAGTTTACCCCCGACCCCCATCGCTGTTGAGTCCCGCTCACCGCACGCCCGGAGCGGCGCCTCCGGGACCCACGCGCGAACATGGCGCGCCCGGGGCACGGTCAAGTCAGGCCGGGTCAGGCGAATGGAATCCTCGGCCGTCCGGCCACCGCGCGTCTGGCCTAGGAGCTCTTTTCCGTAAACCTGACACCCGCGAGGGAGGAGCGCGCCCCACAGGGCCCGCCCCGGGACCTGTTGTCTCTCCGTCGCTGTCGCCGAGGCGCCCCCTGCCTAGAGGTGAGATGCTTGCAGCCCAGGAGCGCCCCGCGGGAAAGGCCCCTGCCCTCCTGCTCCGGGCCAGAGCTGGGCGTCACAAGGCACAGCCCCCAGAACTCTAGTGTGCCACGTGGCCTCTCATGGGACATTCTAGGTCTTGAGGGCTCTGTAGTGGGTGGCGGTGGTGGGGGGACTTGGAGGTGGCCTCCTGACTTGAAGGGGTGGCACTAAGATGCTTTTATTGATGCTTCGTGTGGGTTTATCTTGGATGCTTATTTACGGGAGGGGTTAAAGCCACCTCTTAGCCCCCTCCCCACTGGTGAGGTTCCCAGCATCTCTTTTCCCCGGATGAATGCTGCAAGAGTGGTCTCAGGCCTCAGCTGAGTGCTTTGTCACCCCCACCAGAGAGCTAGACCTTATACACATCCTTCTTTTCCTAGTCCCCTCTCAAGGCCAGGACTATTTGAGATTTATGGGGAGGGGGCTAAAGTCTCTGGTCAGGTTCCAAAGCTCTCTTCCTAGCTCTCTCCCCATCCTTACAGGCCTAGCCGTCAAGCCCCCTAAGTCCTGAGAAGTAGCTCTTAAAGTCTTTCCTCCTCCGACTGCATTCTCTCTCCAGTTAGATATTCCCTTCTCTGAGCTCAGTTCCAGGATTGGGAGCCTCTCCTTCCCGCTCTAGGGCTCTACTGTGCCTCGGGGCTGGGAGGAGGGGGTTCTGGGCCCACAGTCAGAACTCAGGCGCCTGGCTAGGGTCTTTAATTAGGCACAGAGGTGGCAGTGCTCAGCCAGGCCTTTCATCTTGGGCACCAGAGACCTCCTCCATTACACACATCCCAGTCACTTCCCGCCCCTCCTTGCCCCAGGGAGGAGAGCCGGGGAGGCATAAAGGAGAATGAATAAATGAGTTAACTAAGGAGTCACCTCGGCGCCCCGCCTCCAGGCCTTGCTGCCTAGCTGGTGTCCCGGTTCTCCTGTTGGGGCAAAGGCAAGGGGGAGAGACAGCAGGGTCTGAAAAATACAGACGGGGTCGCGTAGTGAAGTCTGTCTGTGAAGTATAGGGGTCCTATTTGGACCCTTTGGGGGTTTGAGAAGAGGGCTCCACAGGGCCTGGGAAGGACTGTGGCTAAGGGACCAGAATTAGAACCAAAGACTGGGCATCCGGTGGCTAGGATTGGGACAGCTAGCAGGGCTAATCAGCGTGCTGATTAGAGTGATGGATGGGCGAGGCTTCACAGAGGAAGGCGCTGGGCAGAACACGGTTGGAGGGGCCTGAAATGGTGCAGCAGCCTTAAGGGTAGTCAGCAGGTTGGGGGCAAATCTTCTCACCTCCTTCCCCCCTTCTCTCCCCTCAGCCCCGCAAAAGAAAGACACACTGAGAAATCAGAGCCTGGTGGACTAGATGGTGAGGAGTTTATTTGGGAGAGGAGAATTAATCATATTTGTTCTTCCTTGGGGAGGGGGTCTTCAAACAATACCAAAGGGTGCGGGAAAAGGTGGGGGTCTGGAGGGGAGAGGGAGGGGCCACAGCCAGACAAAATGGCAACACATGATCACAGGCACTACTGACATCACAGACACAGCAGAGGGTGCAGGATAGGGACTCCAGACCAGGCCTCCAACCACCACGGGATGGGTGGGGGTGTGGAGGAAGGGAGGGGGCAGGGGAAGGGGGGAAGAAGGGTGGGCCAGCCCCACAGACCCGTTGGCTCTGTCCTCTGAGTACCTAGCTATCTTGTCACGGGGTGGGCAAGAGTGTGGGCTGTGCTTCTCTCACCCTCCAAGATATATCCCTTAGCTCCTCCCAGGCCGCCTCAGTCCCCAGCCTTGGCCAGGGCCATTCCTCCCCACCCCTAACAAACCCATCCTGAAGCTCCTAACCAAGTGCCCCCTCCCAACCTACTGCCCAAACCCACCCACTTTAAAACTTTTTATCAACGGAGGGGGCTGCCCCTTCCGAAGCATTCATGCAAGCCCCACTCTAAGCCACACTCCACTTGGAACCCTGACCAGGATCTCATCCCAAACTTGGCCCGTTCCTGAATCCCACTTCTTGCCCTGCTCAAGATATGTTCCCTTTAGAATCAATACTCCTGAGTGTTCCAAGCCACACATAATCCAAGACCTGCCACTCTGCAGCCCATCCATTCCCTCACTTAAAGCCCTGCCCCTTCCAGAACCATACCCTCTGTCTCCTTGCAAGCCCCACCCCAGAATGCTCTAGGGCACCCCTCTCCTTTAGACTGCAGATCCGGTATGTCCCATATACTGACTCCTCCACTCCAGAGCACCCCTCCAAGACCGCCTTGGGTCCTAAGCTGTCCACTCTACACCAAGTCCCCCCAATCTCTGCCTCTCACCCTGGGGTTGGATTTCCCCTAATGGCCTCTGTTCAGGCATTTCTGGAAGAACCAAGGCCAGAGTTGGAAGGAGGGCAGGGAGAGAGGGGAGAGAGTCTGAAGTCACACCCACCCTCCCCACACAGCCGAGGTCTGTCTCCTCCCTGTCCCCCTTTCAGAGCCTCCTAACCTCAGGGGACAGGGACTAGGCACAGAGAGGGGCTAAGGGATGTAGGGGAAGGGGTAGGGGTGAGAGAGGGGCCCACTCAAGACCCCTAGTGCATGAGAGGAGTGGAGTGAGGGCAGGGCTCAGACAGATAAATAGATATTTATATATAATATAATATATATATATATAAACAGCAAAGACAGGGTCTCCTGGCTGAGGAGTGGAGACCTAGGGTATAGGGGTAGGAAGGGGGGCAGGCCTTCTCCTGAGCTCTTGCCCACCCATGGGGTCCTCCTGGGCTGCACTGACCTGTAGAGACAAAAGACACAGAAAGGAGAGTGGGTCCAGACACAGGCAGTGCCCTCAGGAAGGGGCTGGGCTGTTATGCCTTTACCCTCTGCCTGGCATGCCTTTTCTTCCTTCTTCCTTCACTTACACTCCTGGAGTCAGCTTCATCCCAGCTGCCCCTACTGGGAAGATATTCTCCATCTTGCCCCCACTGAATTAGGGAAAGAGATCATGGTCCCCTCCCCCCCCCAAATAATAGTCCATTATCAGGTACTGTTCCAGTCATTGGTGATACACTCTACTGAGCAAAACAAAGATCCCTGTCTTTGTGGAGCTTACATGTAGCAGGGGGAGGCAGGCTTCACACAATGAACATGGCACATGAGTATAACAAAAGGTGACAATAAGTGAAACGAAAAAAAACAAAAAGTGGAGTGAGCAAGGGGGAGAGTGGCAGGAGGTGATGTCAGAAAGGTAGGTAATGGGGTCACAGAGGGCCTCATGGACCACACTGTGGAGACTTCAGCTTTGACTCTGGGTGAGGTGTAAGCCATGGCATGATTTTGAGTGGCGAAGAGTAAAATGAGAGTAAAATGTCTCATGCTATGTTGTTTCCAATATTTACTCAATAAAATATTACCTAACATTAAGAGTTCTAAGTGATGTATGTACAGCATGAATGTCATGGTCACATCCACTAGTCTAGTGGAAGAGACAGTCAATAAACATATAAACTAATAATTACAGAGTATGATAAAGAAAAGCACAGGGTACTAGGAGAGAGATAACAAGGGGGACTTGTTTTAGTCAGGGTTGTGAGGCAAGACCTCACAGAGTAAGTGACTGAAAGGATGGAAAGGAGCTGGCCAGGTAAAGTTACCTGTGTGAGGGTGTGGAACTCCTGGGGGAAAGCAAGTACAAAGGCCCTGAAATCGGATTGTGCCTGGCATACTGAGGTGGCTAATGTGGCTGAAAAAGGGGCAGGGCGGGTAGGGCCTGTGAGCATAGTGAAGACTTCCGCTTTTAATTGGAATGAGATGGGAACTCCGGCAAAGTTCTGAACACAGGAGGGCCGCGGTCCAATTTAGGATTTTACAGAATCCCTCCTGACGCTGTGAGTTGGACAGAATGGAAATGGAGGTGGAGACCTGTGAAAAGGTCTGGGGGAGATGACAGTGAGAAGTGGGAAAATTATGGATATATTTTGAAGGTAGAGCCAACAGCATTTTTTGATGAATTAGATGTGGGATGCTTAATAAACTCTCTGCCCTCTCCATCCTTGCTAACTCGGTGCCAGAAACTACCTCCACTCCCGTGTTGCCACCTCTTTGCGGTCCCCTTTTCACGTTGCCCCTCTGCCTTCTCCTCCTGCCTTTTCTCTCCGCCTTCCCCTTCACATCTGAGGGGACTCTCACCTCTCTTTTATTTTTTTTTCTAGATATATTATTTGTTGTCCAGATAATTTCTTTCTATTTTTAGTAGAGACAGGGTCTCGCTCTTGCTCAGGCTGGTCTCGAACTCCTGACCTCGAGCAATCCTCCCGCCTTGGCCCCCTAGAGTGCTAGGATTACAGGCGTGAGCCACCTCGCCCGGCCTCACCTCTCTTTTAAAGCACAGCAAGAAGGCGGGCAAACCTTTCCAAGGCTCCGCCCCGCCGCTTTTCCTCCTTTGAAATTCCACACCGCCTCCCTCACCTGGAGGACTGGGGAGAGGTGGCAGGTCTATCCCCTCCTCCCGGATTGGTCAGCTCGTCTGACCTTCAAGACCCACGCCCGTTTACCCTCATCATCTATTGGCCTTATTGTCTATTGGCTTAGCAGTCATTTTCTAAGACCCACCTCCTCCTCCTTTCCGTGGCTCCGGCGCTCTGCTGAATCATCACTGCGCAAGTCCTCCTGCTATTCCCTCCTTTCATTGGTCGCTCTGCCCACTTCTCTCTCCCCTCCCTTCCACCAGAGCTGCACTTCTGCCTCCCTCCCATTGGCTCTTCATTCTGCCCATCTTCAAGCACCGCTCTCCTGTTCTCCATTCATTAGTTAGGTTTTCGCTCTAGCACGTAGCTCTGCCTCCCTATTGGCTGCTTCGGATTTCTGTCCTTACTTGCTCAGCAAATGCCTTACATACTGCCCACCCCTGACTCTTATTGGTTCATTGACCTGCTCGTCTCCTGTTATGTACCCTCCTTGGCCGCACCGCCCGCCCGTCACTCACCAGACTACATCTGATTGGAGAAGGAGGTGGGCGCACCCTGCGGGCCGTAGCCTTGCTGCCCATAGTCGCCCTGAGGGCCGTAGCCGCCGCCACCGCCGCCGGCTGGCTGCCCGTAGTCGGGCTGGTAGCCGCCCTGGGGCCCGTAGGAGTCCTGGGGCCCGTACCCGCCGGGGCCCTGCCCGTAGCCCGCATCACCATAGGCGTCCCCGGGTGCCGGTTGTTTCTCGGGGGCACCAGGAGGCGCGCGCAGGAATGGGGCGGCCCAGCCAGTCTCCTTAAACACGAACCACAGGTTGCCGACCCAGAGCACCAGGTTCAGGAAGCCGAACACCTGCAGGGAGACAAGGCCTGGCTGTCGTCCCCCGCCCATTGCTTTGGCGGCCCCAGGGGACATCGAGGCCAAGCGTGCAGGAACGGGCATGTTGGACATGAATCCGTGGGCTCCCGGAGGGTGGTGGTTTCTGAAACCCAGACCCTCTGAGTTCCAGTGCGTGAACGTCAATGTACGGAATAATCACCTTTTGGGGGGAGAGGGCATGTTAGAACTCAGATTCCGGGGGATGTTGAGATCTACCAGCATTACATATACAAGTATTTATATATTTGCATATCTCTATATTTACATTTATATAAAATATGGTAAATTTAAATTTAGGATATATACTAAAATGTAACATGCATTCTTATTAAATGTAGATATACCACTAATGCATATATGCACATAAACGTATATACAAATATATGTATAAGCGCACATACATAAAATATGTAAATATATACTTTAATATTAAAATATAAATATATGGAACTTATATAAAATAAAACACTTTTTTTTTTTTTTGAGACAGTGTCTCACTCTGTTGCCCGAGCTAGAGTGCCGTGGTGTCAGCCTAGCTCACAGCAACCTCAAACTCCTGGGCTCAAGCGATCCTCCTGCCTCAGCCTGGGACTACAGGCATGTGCCACCACGCCTGGCTAACTTTTTTCTATTTTTAGTAGAGACGGGGTCTCGCTCTTGCTCAGGCTGGTCTGGAACTCCTGAGCTCAAACGATCCGCTCACCTCGGACTCCCAGACTGCTAGGATTACAGGCGTGAGCCACCGCGCCCGGCCATAAAACACTTTATATACCTGTTACTATATGCCACACCCTCTTCTAAGCACTTTACATGTTATTCACTTAAAATTCAATTTTTGGACAGGAAGTAATATCTCCATTTTACAGCTGAGGAAACTGAGCCCCAGAGAGCATAAGGTGCCCAAGGTCTCACAGCCACCAAGTGACAGGAAAAAGTTGTAATCTTAGCATTTGTAACACTTGTATATGACTTACCTTGTGCCATTTTCTAAATACTTCATATGTTATCAGTTTGCTAAACACTCAACTTTGCAGCAGGACCCATTATTAGTCTTCAGTTTACATGCTCAAACTGAGCCCCAAGAGGCTGTGTGACTAGTTTCAGGTCACAGAGCTCGCAAGTGGCAGAGCTGGGATTTGAGCTCAGACGGTCTGACTCCAGTCAGTAGGGGGCATCCAAGTGGGGAAACATTTCAAGTTATTCATTCATTTTGCACATGAGGAAACTGAGGTCCCAAGATGGGGTTGAGTTGCCAGAGATTCTACATGACTAGGCTGGGTCTGGGATCCAGGTCTCCCAAACCTAATCTAGACAGAAGATCTCATTTTCCCCGCTTTGGGGATAGTCTGTGGTGTCACAGTAGTATTTGCTATCTCATCCTTCAACATTATTGAGATGCCTCCTCCAGGGAGCCCCCTTGGACTTCCCCTGATTCTCCTTTCATTCTCTCTCTCCACCACTCCCCATGCCAGACTGGAAGTTTCTCAGCCTCCCTCCTCCAGCTGGTCCCCAGGGCTTACCACAGAGGTGTTGAGCCCCGAGGTCACAGGGTCCCTCAGCTCCTTGCATGTGGTTCCTGTCTGGCGGCAGACACCCATCTCCTTGATAATGTTCTCTGGGTCCGTGGCCATCTTCACATCTGACAGCCCCTTGGCCCATGCTGACGAGCTAACTAGCCACATGAAGGCGAAGACTGCTGTGGCCAGAAAGTCCTAGGGTGGGCAGGGGTGAGGAACAGGGCTCTGTGAGTGGGCTGCTTCATGCTGGGCTCTCGGCCTCCTTGGGTCACAGGCTTTCTTGGGAGGGGGGCGTGCCCCAGAAGAGGCCTGTCTCTCTCCTGCCTTTTCAGCTCTGAGGTCCACAACACTTTCACCTGAAGGTGGCCCTCCCAGCTTGGGCTTGTGTGTGTGTGTACATGACGCAGAGGGTGTGGGAGTGTGACTGCGATATGTGGGTGGGATTGTTGGGGGGGAAATCTGGGGGATGGTTTCCAAATCTGTGGAAAGTAGTGTGTCTTTCCACTTTCGTCTGCATGTGGGAATTTGTGTCACATTGTGTCTGGGATGAGGGTGTGTGAGTACAGCTGTGTAGGAATCAGTGTGTCTCTGTGACGTGATGACATGGATGACTGTCACAGTGATCCTCTGTGGGCTCCTTCCTTTGATCTAGACTGCGTAGTTGTGTGAGAGTGGGCAGGTTCCCAGATGTGGGTCTGTCTGGGATTCTGTGTGGGCTGAGTGTGTCCTTGTGACTCTATGACTCTGTGTCCCTGATGCGTGGTATGGACTTATAGCAGCAGCAGCAGCACCAGCAGCAGCAGCAGCAGCAACATGTGTGGCTGTTATGGTGGCTGCCTGCATGTAGGTCTGTCTGGGATTTGGTGTGGCCTGTGAATGTGGTTGTGTCCCTGAGGCTCTGTGTCCCCACGGTCCCTGCATGCAAGTGGCTGTGGGGACTCACCAGCATGGGCCCTTTGTTGTTCTCTCGGTACTTGTTCTGCAGGAAGATGTAGGTGGCCAGAGCCCCCATGGAGTAGAGGAAGGCAAACACGGCCACAGTGACAAAGAATTCGGCAGACGAGGAGTAGTCTCCCACTAAGAAGACCTTGGTGGTGCCCCCTCGGCAGGTGGGTGCATCAAAGTACACTTGGTGCAGCCTGCAGACAGAGGTGGGCAGGTATGGCCCAGCCCCCAAGAAGCCCCTCACCACCACCCCCAGCCCAGTCATAGGTTCCCCCAGATTCTGACAAGGTCCCAGGAAGGGGAGGAATTAACCATTCACAGAGCACCTACTATTTACCAGTCACATTTCATTGATTGCTCAAAACATCCTAGTGAGATAGGTGTTATTCTTCTCTTACTCTAGCCCAGGCACTCTGGCCTCTTGGTTATTTCTAGAACTTGCTAGGCATCCTGCCACCCCAGGACCTTTGTACTGGCTGTTCCCTTTGCCAGGAATGCTCTTCCTCTAGTATCTTCATGTCTTTCTCTGTCATCTCCTTCAAGCTTTGCTCAACTGTCACCTTCTTAGTGAGGCCTTCCCTGATCTCATTATTTTAAATTAAATTGAACCATTCCCTCCTGGCACTCCTTAGCCCCCTTCCTTGCTCCATTTTTCTCTGTAGCAGTGATCCCCATCTGATATACCATGTATTTTACTTTTTGATCTTGATTTTTGCTATAACTACAAGGGGGCAGGGCTTTTTCCTGTTTTGTTCACTGCTGTATCCCCAGGGCCTGGAACAGTAGGCCTGGCATGTAGTAGGCACTCAAGAAATGTTTATTGAGTGAAATGTACAGAGGTGGAAACAGAGGCTCAGAGAAGTGCATTAACTTGCCTAAAGTCACAGAGCAGGCAAGGGAATTGCGGAGTTGGGATCTGAACCTTGTTTTCTCCCTACATCATGTTCGGTCTTCTCCCTACCCCACTTAGGTCCTTGAGAGAAAAAAATGTGTGCATACCAGAGGAAAGCCCAGTGACTACAAAATAGGAAAAGACAGACAGAAAGAAAGGAGGGTAGAAGGGATTTTGGAACAGCATGTATGTGAGGGGAGAAGAGAGGACTGGGAAGGTGTCCTGGGACTAAGGCCTTTCCTGTGGTGTGGAGGAGGGAGTTGTAGGGAGAAAATGTGTGTGTGGAGGACTGGAGCAGGGGTCTCAGAGCTCTGGCCTCAGACTGGGGGGCTGGATCCTGAGACTGAGCAAATGGTGCTGGTGCCCTTGTGTAGCAAAAGTCCTGAGGGAAGAGGCTTACATTTATTTATCACCTACTAAGCACTTCACATGATTGTCTCATTTAACATCTTCCAGCAATTCTCTGAGGCAGGCGTTATGTCCATTGTACAGATGAACAAACAGAGGCTCAGCAAGCTTAAGTTACTTGCCCAAGGCATACGGCTGATAAGCGGTAGATCTAGGAGTTGGATCTTGGTTTGAGTTTCTAGTTTCTAGTGGGCTGGGTCGGGAGAGGGGGCGTCCAAGGGGGAATGAGGGGTCCTTGGGAGGCATCAGAGCAGTGAGGGTATTGGTGAAGGAGACCCAGGGCAAAGATATTTTTTTCTAGGAGACTTGTGGGTAAAGGGCAGATCCTCTAGACCTGAGGTCCTAGGCATGGGAAGCGTGGGGCGGGGGGGGCGGCATCCAAAGGAGATTTTTGTGGTCTTGTGGATTCCCAAAAGGCAGGCCGTAAGCAGTATCCCATGCCGCCAACTCCTCCTTCTGCAGACTGTTCTTCCTTGCCTCTGTGACCCCGAGGATACCTGGTTGCCCCTCTACCCCCAGGCCACACTTTCCTGGCACCTCCTCTTCTTTCTACCATTGCTCACAGCCTGTGCTGGGCCTTCTTCTGTTTCCACTCTTCCTTCTTCCCACTGAGTGATCTCTTGATCCCACATTTCCCTTGGCACTGAAACCCCCCAGTTTCCAACTCAATTCCCGACCTCTTTCCTGAGCCCCTAAAACTTATTTGTTTTACTTATTTGACAAACACTTAAGGAGCCAGGACAGTGCTAAGCACTTTCCAAGTATTAACTCGTTTAATACTAACAACAACTCTGTGAGGTGGCTATTATTATTGTCCTCTTTTACAGATGAAGAAATGGGGACCCAGAGTGGTTATGCTATTTGGCCAAGCAGTAGTGGAGGAGCCTCAGAAGCCTCTACTGAAATTGTGTCCGTGGGACTCTGTCTCCCCACCCCCAGGAGGTAAACACCTCCGTGAGGGTAGCGACCGTGCCAGCCTGTGCTCCTCCCTGGTGCCCCTAGCCCCCAGCACAGGGCCCGGCACACAGTGTGAGCTCAACAAATGTCAGAATGGTTTAATTGGGTTTAATCATTCCCTATAGCTAAGCAGTACCCCCTCGTTATTCTCCATCGTGAAACCCTGGATGAGGATCCCGTCCTCGAATTTCTCTGCATCTGCAGTGATCTTCTTTATTAACTTATTTGTTATAATGGAGGCTCCATGAGAGTAGGGAGCTGGGTCTCTTTTAGTCAGTGCTACATCCCCAGCACTTTGAGTAGTACCTGGTATACAATAAGGGCTCAAAAAATGTGTATAGAATAAATGAATGAATGGGGATTAAATAGTAATACTGGCTAACGTTAATTGAGCACTTAACTGTGTTAAGGTGTGTGCATATGTATGTCTTTTTCTTTTGAATCTTGTTTATTGCCTGTCCCCTACCCCTTTCCTTCACTAGAACGAAGCCAGAGGGCGACAGCTTATGTCTATCTTGCTCACCACATAGCCCTAGAGTCCAGAGCAGTGCCGGGTACAAGGCGGGTGCTCCGTGCATGGACAGTCATCCGAGTGGGTGTGGCCTCTTGAGGTGGGGGCTGGGCAGGGCCACTGGGGAGGAGGTACTGGCTGGTTCCACCCCACCCCTGCCTCTCTCAGGTCTGTTGGGAGCCCAGGGTGGGGGCACACCTGAAGGGGTATTCGAATTCGACTTCAATGTTGGGGTCACTCTCGGACTTGTTGGCACACTCCACACCCAGCCGGAGCTCCCCGCTGTAGCTGCCGCATGTGGCGAAGGCGAAGATGGCGAAGACCTTGGGTAGCAGGGGTGGGGATGGCTACAGTGAGCCTGGGTGCGTGTGGGAGGGGGTGCCCTCCTCTGGACAGACTGGGGGCCCAGCACAGGCAGCAGCAGATGGAGCAGTCCCCACCCCCACCCCCTAATCAGGGCTCATCGGGACCAAGGACAAGCTGATTACAGGGCTATGGCTGTCTCTTCCTGTTCCTCTCTCTCTCAGTGTCGCTCTCTGTCTCTACCTCTCCATGCTCTGATCTCTCTCCTTCTCCGTTTCTCTCTGCCTTCTCTGTCTCTGTTGTTCTCTGTGTGTCTCCCTGTGTCTCTGTTTTTCTCGTTATCTCTGTTTCTCTATGTCTTTGTCTTTCTCAGATGTCTCTTTGTCTCTCTGTGTCTCTGATTCTCTCTCTGCCTCTCTAGTCTCTAGGTGTCTCTTTCTGTCTCTTTTTTCTCTCTGCGTGTGAGTGTATGTCTCTCGCTATGTCTGCGCCTTTCCGTTTCTTGGTCTGTTTGTCTCTGTCTCTCTGTCTCTTACCCAGACTCTGTCTGCCCTGTGCCTCTCTTTCTCTGTGTTTTGGTTTTTCTTCTTTCTGAGTGTCTCTTTCTCTCTTTGTCTCTGTCTCCCCCATCCCATTTTCCTGCCTCTCTCCCTGTGTCTATTTCTCTTTGCATCTCTGTTCTCTGTGCGTCTTTTTCTGACTCCCTGATCTTTGTCTCTGTTTGTCTCTTTTCTCTCTTGTCTCTGTATCTCTTCTCATCAGTGTATCTCTTTTTTTCTCAGTATTTCCATCTCTGTCTCCATCATTTCCTGTCTCTCATTCTCTCTGTCTCCTTCGCTGTCTGTGAGTGTCTCTGGCTTTGCATCTCCCCCCCAGCAATCGGTCACAGGCTCCACCTCTCTCACCCCTTTCTCCCTTCGGCAGAGGAGGTAGGACATCACAATCTGCCACTTCACAACGGGGGTACCCTCAGCCCCATGTGATGCCACAGCCTATTGGTTCTCTGGTCCCAGACCCCTGAAACCTCACCCCGGGCCCAATTCCCCTGTCCCCTTCAACCCCTCATCCATTCTTCACTCCCCAGCCCTGCTCCACCCCTGCTCTTCTGGATCTCACTACCTCCCTCTCTCCCTGCGCTCTCCCCCAACAGCGCAGACCGCACTCACCCATTGCAGCACCTTCACGAAGCCAAGGGGCTCCTTGACCACCCGGAACTGACCCCCGGCCACCAGCTGAGGAGAGAAACAGTGGGGAGGGGATGGAGTTGTTGGAGGTAGAGAGAGAGGTGACGGGCAAGGCTGCCAGGGGATGACCCCTGGGGATGGGCATGTGATCTTGGGAGATGGGGTGAGAATGAGAAAGTGACACCTTGGGGAAGGTGTGAGCACCAGGGTTTCTGAGAGAAGACCCCCCAGGATTCAGGACTGGTGGGGAGGTCTGGGGTGATGGTGAGTCAGATGGCAGAGGAGGTCAGGGGAGGGGAAGATGGGGATGGGGTCAGGACTAGTTAGGGAAGGGGAGAAGTTCTGAAATGTAAAGATGAGTCAGATGGGGAAGGGGCTTGGGTGGAGACAGTGAGGATGGAGTTGGGGTTCATCCTGGTAGGGGAGGGGTCTTGAGTGGTGAAGGTGAGTCATAAGAGGGCGGGAGTCAGGTTGGTTAGGGTGGGGGAAGGGTCTGCAGCGGCAACGGTGGGTCAGATGGTGGTGGCGGTGGGATCTGAGGTGTTGGGGACGGGGAAGGGTTGGCACTGGTTGGGGGGGTGAGTTAATGAGGTGGCAAAGAAGAGTGAGATGGCGGAGAGGGTCTGGACTGATTCAGGTGGTGGAGGGCTGGGGCATGGCTTCACCGGCTGTGTGTTGGGGGAGAGGAGACCGGGGGCGGTTTGGAGAGGCAAAACCACATCCCCCTAGGTCTGCTCTGGGAGAAGGGGTGGTCGTCTACCGGGGTACAGTCTCTGTTTGGGAGGGGCAGGTGCCAGCCCTTTCTCCCCACCCCCACACCTTCTGTCGCTCTATTTCCCAGCTCATCTGCAGTCCCCCCCAAGTCTTCCTTCCACTCTCCCCTCCCCTTCCCCCTTGCCCTCACCCCAGACCCCAGCCCCCTGTTCCTCTCCTCCAGGTCGCCAGTAATGAACTGGACTTCTGGGGGCACCCGCTGCGGCAGTGAGAATGGCCCTCGCTGCGGCAAAAGAGCGCACTCCTTCTTTTCTCCACCTCCCCCTTCCTCCCCTTCGCCCGCCGCAGACCCCCAGCCCCAGCCCCGGGGACCAAATCTCCGCTGCCAGGACCCTGGTCACCGCCTCTCAGAGTCGGCTGGTCTAAGAGACCCGGGCCTGGAAGGCCTGGAGCGGCGGGCTCTGTCCACGGTGCTGGAGCGCGTACCTGATTCACCACGTCCATGTCTGCCAGCAGCAGCATCAGCAATGCAGGGGGCGGGAGGCGCCTGCTAGCAAGGGCGGCGCGGGGCGCGGCGGGGGCGGCGCGCAGTCGTCGGAACAGCCCAGGCGGCTGCGGCCCCGCCCCTCGCGCCCCCTCCTCGCCCGCCACGCGCGCCTGCGCACAGCGGGCTGTGCCACAGCCTCTCCCGCCGCCATTCCGGACCGAAGGCTGGAGATGGGAAAGCGTGCTGGGAACGTCATTCTCTGAGGAAACGCAGCTAGCGGTCTGGGGAAAGGAGGACCGCTCAGTCCTATAGTATGACATTTTGCCAGGCCCTTTTCTGAGTTTGTTAAATGTGTTCACTCATTTAATCCTTACAACAGCCGTATGTGGTAGGAACTTGAGGAAAATGAGTCCCCAGAGAGATTAAGTGACTTGTACAAGGTCACCAAGCTAGTAATTGGCAGTGCTCAGAGTCCCTGCAGTTTAAACATAGTGCAAGGTCTTGAGGGTTCCTTTTTGATAGTCTGCATTTTAAGCACACCCTAAAGCCCCCTCCCTTCCCCCTCCAACCATCTGCCTTATTTCTCTCTTCCTCTTGGTCAAATTCTTGCCTACTCCAACTCTACACTTTACATCCTATTTATTCCTCAGTCCTCTCTTAATTGGACTACCCCTCCTTCATGCTACTAAAACCATGTTCATCAAGGTTAATGGTGATTGCCATGTTGCAAAATCCAATGGATAATATACAGTTGGGGTTTAAGATGCTTGACCTCACTCATACTAAGAGAAATGCATATAAAAACTGCTAAGATACTAGTTTTCATCTTTTAGGGTGGTGAGTATCAAAAAGTTCGATAATGTTAAACATTGGTAAGTTGGCCAGAAAAATTCTCATAAATTGCTGGTAGAAGTTTAATTGGTATAACATCTGTAGAGGGCAATTAGGCAAAATCTAGCAAAATAAGAAATTCATATACTGTTTGGCTCAGCATTTACACTTCTAGGAATTTATCTTACAGATAGATTCATGCATGTGCTGAAAGATGTATGTATAAGATGGTACACTACAGGGCTGTTTATAATAGGAAAAAGTGGACATTCCCTAAGTACTCATTATTGGTAGCCTGTTTAAATAAACTCTGATACCATGCACCTGCCATTATGATAATATGGAGCTGTGGAATGATTGTCAAGATATTTACTTAAGAAATGCAAGATGTCAAGCTGTGTGGGAAGTGTGTACAAAGAGAAGGGAAGGATTATATTATAATCATAGAGAAAATAACTAACATTTAAATTGTGGTGTTTTCTGTCAAGCACTCTTCAGAGAACTTCACATATGTTGCTTATTTAGATCTTCACAGCAACTATCTTCATTTTATAGCTGAATGAACTAAGGCGCAGAGAGGAATTTTCCTCTGGTAAGTGCTGGAACTAGGATATGAACCCAGGAAGTCTGGCTCCAGCACCTGTTACTCCTTAGCTGCTACGCTACCTTATCAGTACACCATCATACGTGTATAAAAGATACCTGGTAACACTGTTTGCTACCGGAGGGGAGTGAAACCTTTCACTTTATACCCCTTCGTGCCTTTAGAACTTTGAACCAGCTGAATGTATACCTATTTTTTTTTTTTTTTTGAGACAGAGTCTTACTCTGTTGCCTGGGCTAGAGTGCCATGGCGTCAGCCTAGCTCACAGCAACTTCAAACTCCTGGGCTTCAGCGATCCTCCTGCCTCAGCCTCCTGAGTAGCTGGGACTACAGGCATGCACCACCATGCCCGGCTAATTTTTTCTATATATATATTTTTAGTTGTCCAGATAATTTCTTTCTATTTTTAGTAGAGACAGGGTCTCGCTCTTCCTCAGGCTGGTCTCGAACTCCTGACCTTGAGCAATCCACCCGCCTCGGCCTCCCAGAGTGCTAGGATTACAGGCGTGAGCCACTGCGCCCGGCCTATACCCATTTTTTAAACACACAAATTCACACAAATATGTAAAGGATACTTCCTAGTTGTTGCTTTATTAGAGGAAGCAGTACGCAGGAGGGGTTACGAGTTTTGATACTCAACTGACTAAATTTGGTACTTTTTAAATTTATTGTTATTTTTATTTTTTTGGGACAGGGTCTTGCTCTGTCTCCCAGGCTGGGGTGCAGTGGAGTGATAATAGCTCACTGCAGCCTCCAACTCTGGGGCTCATGTGATCCACCCGCTTCAGCCTCCTGAGTAGCTGGGACTATGTAAGGAGTGTGGCACCATGCCTGGCTAAATTTTTTATTTTGGTTTTTGTAGAGATGAGGTCTTGCCATGTTACCCAGGCTGGTCTTGAACTCCTGGGCCCACGCAATCCTCCCACCTCGGCCTCCCAAAGTGCTGAGATTACAGACGTGAGCCACTGTGCCTGGCCCAGCTGCTTAAATTTGAATCCCACTTCTAATATTTATTATTGTTTGACCTTGGACATATAATATGGTTTAAAATTGTACCTGTAGGGTTGTTGTACTGATCAAACAAGATAATCACTGTAATGCACATAGCACAGGGCCCAATAAGTGGTTCATTTTACTTCCTACACATCTCTGGAATCCACTCACTTCTCACCATCTCCTCTGCCACCTTCCCTGGCTAAGGCGACCATCGTTCCTGCCAATTTTAGCATCTCCAGTCTCTTCCCCCTCCCTTCTGTTTTCAGCACAGCAGTCAGAGCATCTATTTAAAATGGAAAGTTAACTATGTCACTACCCTAGTCAAATCCCTTCCACGGCTCCCCATTGCTTATAGGAAAAATCCCAGAGTTTGGGGCCTGGCATTCAAGGCTCTGTATGATCTGGCCTCGAGTGGCTTCTCCCAGCTCATCCCTTGACAGTCTCCCTTTGCTGTCTATGCCCTGCCCCTGACTTGCTGTTCCCACCATGCACCAGCCCAATCACTTCCAGCCTTCGTTCCAAGGCCTAGTGTAACTCTACGTTCTCAGTCCTAGTCTCCAATTCTGGCTCCCCCAAATTTCAGTCCTGGCTTGATTAGCACAAATGATACAAATGTGACACCCCTGCTCTGAGAGCTTGGAGGAGACCCTAGGGCAGACCCTCCCCAGTGGTGACCCCATCCCATACCACCCCCAACGCTGCTATGATGCCTTTGGAGTGGGGCTGATTCCCATTTTGGTTAGCCCTGTCACATGTCTAAGCCAGATCAGTTTGCCCAAGGGAAACCCAGATCAGAGCCTGGCACACAGTGAATGCCTGATAAGCCTTCACTGAATGAATGAGAACCCAAAATTTGGGTGGCGACTAAAGGTGGGGCAAGATGCAGAAAGAGGACCTCTGGGATCCGTGTGGGAGAAGAGTGGGTTACTCTTAGGTGGTCTCAGGAAAGCCCTGAGTCAGTTCCCTGGGGCTGGGAGCCCCACCCTTTGCTGTCACTGATGTCTTCTACCAATGGACTTAGGTTTTCTTCTCTTTCTCAGGCAGAAGGTGGGAGGTGGGAGGTAAAGTGATCCCAATTTAGCCTCCTTGAAATTCCTGACGCCATCAGAGGACTCCTTTGCCTAAGACACATTACATACCAGGCCGATTCCAACCTTCAGGCCTTTCCTGGCAGGACTCTCCTCTGGGTTTCCTTATCCTTTCCTTCCCATCCATGTGTCCGTCCTCAGTCTGACCTTGCTGACCCTTATGGCGTCTGCCTCTCCCCCTCTCCTCATCCAAGCAACCTTCACATCCTCTGTCTCCTCTTTCCTCCATCTCTGTCCAGTGTCCCCCTCCCCCACCACCTCCACTCTGTCTCCAGCTTTTTTTGGCTGCTGTCTCTTCCTCCTCCTCCTCCTCCCTCCTTCCCTGACGCTGAATAATCAGGCCTGGCTGTCCTGGTTTCTGGAAATACCCGTGTGTGGGCAGTGGCTCAGGGCTGGAACAGGGAATGGATGGATGAAGGCCCCTGGGCAGCCCCAGACCCCCAATGCGAAGATGCCAAAATCCGGGGATGTGGTCCATGCCTGTCTCCTGCTGGGGAGGGGAGGGCAGGAGGTTGATTGAGCAGTGGGGGCGGGGTGGGAGCTCAGAGGGCATGGACGCAGGCCATCTCGTCTCCCAGGTCCTCCTCATCGAAGCGGGAGAGGATGGACTCCTCATCGCTATAGAGTGAGCTGGTTCCCTGTGCCAGCAGGTCACTGGCGGCACTGTCCATCTCATCCAGCGTCAGGCGACACGCATCCGCAATCTCCTGCTTGGCCAGGGCCACAAAGCGTGGGTCTCGGGCAAAGAGGCCCAGGCCCTCAGAGATGAGCACCTGGGGGCACAAGTGGGGTCAGTGTTGACCGAGGGCACAGTGTGCACAAAGGGTTCAGTGTGGATAAATGATGCACCCATGAGGGTGTGCAGGGAAGTCGGTGGGGGACAGTGGTAAGCAGAGGTGGCAGAGCAAAGGGATATGTACATGCACAACGCAGAGCCTAGGGACCCCTTCTCCCTCCCGCCCCAGCTCCCACCTCCTGCTCTTGTCCCCCACCCCTCTTGCCTACAATCCCTCTGAACTCACAGCCTCCACCAAGCTGTCAGCACTTCCCCTCTTGCCATGGCTGGGGTCCGAGTGGGTTCCAGGCACATGCAGACAGGTGAAGGTGCGCAGTGGACCTCTGGATTTGCCGAGGTATCCCTCCCCCGCCGCACCCTCCTCCACCAACAACAGTGGGGCATACAGGAGCCGACCCCGCTGAGGAGGGGTTGCCCAGGAACCCTGAGCCAGAATAAACATTGGAGGGTCAGGGACTGATGGGTGGGGTGTGAGGGTCTAGGACTCACTCCTGTGCCTACTGCCTTCCCCCAATATGCAACCGGAGTCAAATTGAATGGGTGGAAATCAGACTTGAGTTTATGTAAGAGCACAGAAGACCTGGATTTAAATGTCAGCCTTGCCACTTAGTAGCTGTATGATCTTGGATAAACCTCTCTGGCTTCAGTTTCCTCGCCTGTACACTGGGGATAATAATAGTACCTACCCCACAAGTACAGTGAGGATTGTGTGCATGCATTCACATATGTC